ATTTTTTAACAGATGGTGCTAGATTAGGTCACACAGATATAATTGAGGTCAGAATTTGGCCACTGTAGGAACAGACCCTCTCAGTGAAAGAGGTGAATTTCCTCCTGTGTTTTTCATTAATTACTCAGTGGCATCCAGTCACAGCGTTGTCTGCTGTAGATTCTCTCAGTCCTCCTTGTCTATACAAGCCTTTGTCCAGAATATTCTTTCAATATTACATATTTGAACAAAAATTTTCCTTGTAGGAACATTGATTTGCTTTTAAGTAGCAGAGACAAAGGCTTATTAGCATCACCATTTATCTTAGCTATGTTCTCTTAAGATAACAGTGAGTATTGGGGACAAACAGACAAAGGAGTATTTCCACTGCTGATGTAGGAAGGCTTGATATAAAACAACAGATAATTTTTATGAAAAAACAAAGAATTTTTAAATCCCAAGACTGATTTTAAAATACTTTTTGTGAGAGATGGAACATAAAATGAGCCCATGGATGTAGCAGAATGAACTTGCAGAGTTGTTTTGGATAGACATTGCTCAAATTCTCCTTAGCTTTCAGCATGTAGAAAGAGAGTTTTACTGACCTTGCTCTTGGTTTTATACAGTGTATCTGAAAGTAGTGTTTGCTTTGTTTGTTCACACACTCTATAAAAATACATAAATAGCATTGTATACAGTAAGGCATGGATTCAAGATTGTATTTATTTCTAACAGAAAGTCATTCACATTTGAGTGCTAATCAGAAAGCATGCCGCAGAAATCAAACCAACCGAATTTCTGCATGAGCCTCAAAGCATAATGTTATGCTGTTTCAAGTCATACAAAACATTCTCTCCACAGCTGTGCAGGCTCAGCCTGCAGATGAAACCATCAGAGTCAATACTTTTACTTGAATGACACCCATATTAAAGTGGCTTTCTTTCATAACAGTCCATTTTATCTCACTAAAAGAAAACTACATTAGAAAAATATCATTAATGTATCCACTTTATGAATGTGATGGATTATATTTTTCTTTTTACTTATTAATAAATTTATTTCCTGAAAATACTTTGCTCTCTTTCCCTTCAGCTAATATTAATTAGGGTCTGTGTTTTGGCCCATCTCCCTTTCCTAAGAGCTTTACACAGAAATACGTGACAGAAATAAGAACAACAATAACAGAAGTAAATCAGCTAACAGTATTTACCTGAGTAAAGGTTTCTCTAGATTACTTGTAGTTTTGCTTTGGGGAAATGGCTGAAACAAAGGCCATACTATAACTGAAGTAAAACTCAATACTGTACTTTATAATTTTGTGACTTCTGTTATAAAGGATAACACATTTATTTTGTGTCAATCATTTAATTCCAAAGTCTGTGCAACATTTTGTTACAATAAAAATAATATTGCTTCAGGCTTCTTAAACCAGCTTGGATGCACTCACAATTTATATATGCCTACAAACCTCATGTTTTCACACATGAGGTCCCTCAGTACAAACACAAGACCAACAATATTGCTGCTAACAATTGAGTTTGCCCCATTATACATTAAAAAGAAGTAATGAGGATAAGCCAAAAGAGTATTTGGGGAAAAAAAGAAAGAAAAAAAGAGCAAATTTTATATGCACATAGAAGCAAAAGTCACCTTTTTTCATGTTGCTCAGATACAATAGCTGGTTGACGATCAGCAGCTTCCTTGAACCTAATCAACCCTGAACACAAGCAAGTGAATTGTGCTTACAGCAGGTAAGCCTTCAGACCTGGAAACTGTCAGAGTGCTATGGCAATGGGTCAAATGGCTTTAAACTATTGCTAACTGTTTATCATGAAAAGCTTGAATGGCCAGGGCAGAATTAAGAGGTTACTTATTATACATTTTATGATTTCTGTAAAACAAGGCTTTTCACAAATTTTCTCATAAGCTATTTGGCTGTAATGGTCCCAAAACATGGTGTTCACAGAAACATCTCTGTGCCAAAAGGCACTTTTGTCAATGACATCCATGTTAGCAGGTAGCACATGAAGATGCTGCAAGTGGATCTCCTGAGTTTAAGGGGACATTGCTCCCACCTGCAGCCCAGCTCCTGCACTCCAGCAACACTGGCAATCTCATTGGCAGGTGGGGGCCCTGCACAAGCAGGCTGGCTGTAACACATACCCAGACTCAATAAAAAAGCTGCATCAAAAGCAGCATGGCCAGCAGATCGAGAGAGTTGATTCTGCCCCTCTAATTTGCTCTGGTGAGATCCAGCTCAAGTGCTGCATCCAGCTCTCTGGGACCCCAACATAGGAAGGAGATTGCCCTGTTGGAGCAAGGCCACATCAGGTTGCTCAGGATGGAAAACCTCTCCTATGAGGAAAAGCTGAGATAATTGGAGTATTTCTGTGTGGAAAAGGCAGGCCTTCAGGGTGACCTAACTGCAGCTTTCCAGTACCTGAAGGGAATTTACTGAAAAGATGAGGCTAGACTATTTAGAAGTGCACGTAGTGACAAGACAAAGGGAATGGGTTCAAATTGAAACCGAGTAGATTTAGATTACATATTAGAAAGAATTCATTACTGCGAGGGTGGTGAGGGGCTGGAATAGGCTGCTCAGAAAGCTGTGCATGCCTCATTCCTGGAAGGTCAAGATCAGGTTGGGCGAGTCTGAACAATTTGTTCTACTGGAAAATGTCCTTGCCTACAGCACGTGGGTTGGAACCAGGTGATTCTTAAGGTCCCTTCTCACCCAAACCATTCTACGATTTTGTGAAATGCAAATTGTATTTGTGGGCGTGGGCCACGGCCTCAGCTGAGGCTTTACCTTTTCCTCGCCACGGCGCCGTTTCCGCCCGCGGGCAGCGCGCNAGACAAGGTTGTATTTTGTCTATCTAAAGGATGATTTCAGCTGAAGATAGAATCTTTTGCTCAAAAGGGGTGTTACTACCCACATCCTGAAGTATGTGTTCTCTCTTCAATTAAGGTTCTGGTAATTGTGGAGCTTCACAAAATGGATCAGCTTGCTGTCTAGCTAAAAACAAGTAATTTTTTTCTTTTTCAAAATGTAAGCAAGCTGTTCTGTTTTACTTTAAGGCCACACAGTTGCTAATGCCAACAAAAGGTAGAATGCAGGGATACACAGTAGGGAACTGAGAAGCATGGAAAATTATCCAGCTGTGACAGCACATTCTTAGTTTGGCAAAAGAAGACTTCTAAATTTTCTTGCAGATTGAGGTAAGGTGCCTGTCTCTCTGCAGGTTTCGTGATTCAACCCTCAGGCTAGAGGCCCATCTACTGTTTTTCCCCCAGTATAATTCAGTAAAAGATATGAAAAACTGGGATTGGCATCCAGTTATTCTTTCATTTTTTTTATCAACAGGCTATAGTAATGTTTTCCTTATTCTCTCTTCTGTCATGTAAATACTTAATTTAGGTTTCCCATTTTCAGGATGGGAAAGTACAGAATCCCCATATAACTTTTGGATCACCTTCCCTTTGTTAAAATGTGAATTCGAATTTCTGCTGACTGAGGAGGCTTTACAACTTCAGAACAGCTGCTGCTACTACAGTGCTTTATGAAAATGTGAGCACTATGAATTGAGTCTCCTTGACTGGCTATTTAATTGAAAGTCACTGTGAGATGTGCTTTGTGTTAACACCGCTGTGTTTGGACAGACTATGAGATTGGATTCTTGGGGAGTTCTGTCAAAGGGATATCTGGTTACTGAATCACAAAGAGTTTTAGGGAAGAGACAATCACCAATATGCTCAGTGGAGCTAAGATAACATCTGCAGCCACACTCAAGAATAGAGCCATAACCCTGTAACTTAATTTGAAAAATCAAGACTCTTTCAGATTTGGGAATAGAAGCTTGATCTTGCATAAAGTTGTACTTTTGTAACAATAATGTAGTGACTCACTATGAGAAATATAAGTGGTAATGTCAGATAAATATTCCAACTGTCATTTGTAATTATAATTTTTGCACTTTGGTCAGGCAGCTATTCATAACATCCCAATCAGTGTTGAATTTAGCCATTATGCTTTGCTTTGTACCTATGTTTTTCCCAGATCTGGCATGTGGGAAGAGCTTCAAATGCATACTGGAAGTTGAGGCAACGTGGTCGTCCAATAGACTATCTCATGTAAGTACCTCAAGTATTTCTCACAGCAAATAACAAAAATCCCTGAACAATACAGTTATAAAGGCTGAAGCCTTTACTTTCACTGTTTGTTTAGAGTGCTTCAAAAAGGGAAAAGTTACCTCTTCTTGGGAAGTTCCAAAATAGACCTAGACACTGGAGTCCAACATTTTCAGCTTTATGAAGACCTCAGTACGTTGTAGCAGCTGCTGCTTTCTATCTTTGTAAGTATCCGACATCTGTATGTGATTTTGTTAGTGGGGTTGCATAAAACCAGTAGCTCCCACTGCTGGTAAGGTAACAGGCCCTCAAGCTCAACCCCAGGGCCTTGTTGGATGGACCTGCTGGCACACTGAATGCTGCTCAGCAGGCAGGGAGTTTGTGCATTTGTGGCTTGTTGCATTTCTTCTAATGACTGTGCTATTACGTGTGAAACATGAAAATCCATGTTCAAATAATAACCTGCCTAATTATCCTGTAATGCTGAGGCCAAAGAATGTTTTTCTCCTCATTTGCCTTTAATAAGTAGAAATTAATTTATACTAGGTGGAACAGTTTCAGTAAGAAACAATGAGATGACGAGCAAGGTAGCACGTGAAGACCTGCTTCTTTAGGAAAATGGAAGATTCCACAAGGATACACATCCTGAACCATGTCTCTTCCTGTCAGTGCTGGTTAGGTAATTACCTGTGAAACACAGGTAATCAAAGCAACCACCAAGCCACAGCTAAAATGCTGAGTAGATTTATTTAATTGCCTTGTTCACAACACATGGCAGCAGAGACACACAGGGACACAGGCTCCTTGGGTTTAGCTCATCCTAGTGGCCACCAGGAGGGTCTCTGCCTGCCTCACTACCACAAAAGGCTTTGTGCATCTCTGTGAGNGTCATCAACACCTGGGCGTTCAGGACGGCCGCAGAGACAGGTGTCCTGGCGGGGGCCCGGGCTGGAGCGGGGCGGGTGGGCCGGTGCTGTGCCGTGCTGCTCGGTTCCTTTCGGGAGCGCCCTCCTGCTGAGGGGCCGCCAGGCAGACCTGGCTATTGGTGCTGCTTAAGGAAAAATGAGTCTCTGGGGCGTGACTGGCTGGTGTGCGGCCAGAAGGAGCGGGCTGTGACCCGGCTGCCAAGCGGCGCTGGGTGCGGAGGGCCCGGGCTCAGAGGCAGCCCCGCTGCCGGCGGGGATGTGGCGGGAGGTGCCTTGGAAAGATTTACTCTTCTTCTGGGAAGGACCAAGCCCCGGAGCTTGCCCTTCCTTCACTCTGCTGCCGGGAGCCTGCAAGCAAATGGTTTCACTATTCACTTTGGGAAATAACGCTACAAAAACCCACCAAAACTAAGGAGCGGAGTTAGGAACTGCGGAAAAGCTAGATCAAAGACATACTTTTGCTAATAATGTGGTTTTCATTCTTGTGCAGTGTTTTTTAATGGTGATTTATGGGGTTCTTTGGTATTCCATATTGTCCCCTAAAGAATTAGGTAGTTTCGTTATTTCTTTGAAGCTCTGTTGTTTTGTGATGTGTTATTGACAGTCAAAGCGGGCTTTCCTATAGCAACATACATTAGCTGTGAACAGTAATTTTAAAAGACTTGCAGATTCTTTTATTACAGAAGAGTTGAAAATAACCCCATACGGAATGCTTGCTTGTGAAATAAGTTACAAATAAAGTCAGAAGTGAAATACTCATGAAAATTGCAAGGCCTTTGCTTTGCAACTTCTGAAAGCCTGTGCCAAGCCTACTCACGGCAGTAAAGGCTTTTCTCTGAGTCAGAAAATACTCCTCACACTGAAGTTTGTAGTAGAGGCAAGCATATGTGGAGGTGGATGCATGGTATTAAGTCTTTTTCCCTGGTGCAGGCAACTTCATGTAGTTGGCGTGCAGCATCTGTGATCATGAGCCTTCTTGAGGTGGTTTACTTCAGCTAAAAGAGCTGGCCTGTGTGCATGTGCTGCTTCCCCTGTGCTGGGTCTGTCAGGTGATGGAGCACCAGAGCTGGCACAAATAGGAGTAAGCAGGACTGTGATTGTCAGTGACAGCAAGCTCAAACACCTTAAATATCATGCCTGAGGTCCATCCTTGTGAAATCTTGTATGTGCAATGCCTTCAGGCTCAGTGTACTCAAGTCATGTCATTTGACACATCTGTAATGTCTTAAAAAGCTGCACCATGATCTAGATCCTGAAGAGCAAAAGACCAAGGGTTGAACAGGAGAACATGGAGACTTAATTTCTTAAATGTAATTTTCACTTTGCTTTAGTACTTATGTAGTTAGTGATGTAGGTCTATACCTTTTTGTTCTGCAGTTGGAATATATTCTTAATATTCTTAATATTATATATATGATTATATAGAAAAATATACATTATATATATTATATTCTTAATATTCTCATGAATATTAAGTTTTTGAGGGTGGCTCTTTTTTTTGGCCTTTTTTTCTTTTTTTGAGTCAAAAAATTTTTTTTTTCCTTCTTTATTCTCCCAGAGGGCTTTAAACAACTAGTGATAAAGTAATGATTGGTTCTGGGCAGAGAAGGTATTTGATATGGAGAGCTTGTGGTAATTGTTAATAAATAATACCTCAGTCAGAAGAAAAGCTCTGTTTCTCTTTAAGAAACATTAATCAGATATGCAAGAAAAAGAATATTTAGAAAAGTGATGCTTTATGTTCTTTTGGTTCTATTTATATTTTCACTTTATAATTTACAGTTCACTGTTTTTTATCCACTTATGTAGTGCACCACACCTGAGTCATGTCCATCTTTAAGTAGCAGTGAAAAGTGTTTTCCCTAGTGACATTTAATTATTTGTGTTGATTACAGCTTGGAGAGTTTTAGAGTCGGGAGGCTCAGAGCTTGACGCGGTTGAGAGAGGCTGTGGTCAGTGTGAGATCGATCAGTGCGATGGGAGCGTGGGATATGGAGGAAGCCCAGATGAAAGTGGAGAAACAACTCTGGATGCAATGATTATGGATGGGTAAGGAAACTGTATGGAGAAAAGAATGATCCCTGCTGTTATAAATGACTCAGACCCCAAGTGGGAATGAGTTATAAAAGTTTTATAAAAGCAAAAGGGACAGTGCTGGGAGTGTGGCCAAATGCCTGAGGCTTGTCCACAAAATGGCAGCTCTGCCTTTTATACCCCTGGTGTTGCATCAGTTTGATGCATATTTATTTTGATTTTACATAGTCTCTGTCCATGTCACTGTCCTCGGCGCTGATGCAGTTTCACTGTAGTCCTCAGGGCTATCATTGGATGAAGTTATGCTCCTTTTAAGGTCCTGTCTCAAAGGTTTGGCCAGCAGCAGCCATTCAGTGTAAACTCACAAGTTCACACCGCAACACACAAAACCATCCTCACGAAAACTAACCTCAAAACTAGGCCACTGCTACTGCATCAGCCACTCCACAATGTGTATCACTCTCTCAGTATTGATGACATAATATTTAATCAACAGTATAATTAATAATATAATATCAATTCATATAGTACCAGCGAAAGCCAACTTCCATTAACTTGTTTCTCACACCATTTTTGACACACTTGAGGGTTGTTAAAGGATCTTGTTGCTTTGGGGCTGACTATGGGACAAGCTAACTTGGAACAAGGAAAAATAACATACCTGATTGTTGGAAGAGTAGGAAATGACTCTTCACTTTTAATGCGTTAATCCAGTTCTAGGTATAACAGTTGAAACAGATGGTTTGTAGCATTGTTAGCTTTCCCTTTACATTCAGTCCATAAAAATTTCACTTACAGATAAATTGTCTTCAATAATTTATTTGCTATTTAAACCTGTCCTGATTAAAAAGTAATTGCAAATTCATGTTATGAGCTTATGTAACAAAATAGTTACTCTACTGAAAATATTACTGTGAATGGAAGTATTGTTTCTTGGGCAACATATCCATGCCTCTGAAAGGAAGCTATATGTAGGAAGTCTTTCCCTACTAGTGTGCTGATGTCTGTCTGTGCCATAGAACAATTAAAGCATTATGTTAAAGGAGCAAGCTTTTTGATTTAGATGAGAACAGATTTTGTCTAGTAAAAAATGTGCAATTATTGTTTTAGTTTTAATAAGTTTTAAATATTCCTTGTTTCCAGCAACACTATGGAAGTTGGGGCTGTTGCGGATCTCAGGCGTGTGAAAAATGCAATTGGTGTAGCACGAAAGGTCATTGAATACACTAAGCATACATTACTAGTGGGAGAGTCAGGTAATTATTCCTTTAACTGTTTCCAAGTCAAATCCTCGTTTTAAAACACCTCCTAATAAAATTGCCATCTTGGTAATATAGTTTTCATCTTGGTAATATTAGTGGAAGAATTCCTTGACAATCAAATCAATCTACTCAAAATAGTTCAAAAGTGTTCATTGTTTCATTCTGTGTCTACGAAATAGGTTTATTTTTAGAAGAAAAAAAATAATTTTATATTTTTTTCCATCAGCTTAACTGCAAATGCTGACTTGTAATCCCAAGGCTTTGCTGATATCGCTGATATCTAAGTTACCAAAGATGATTTATTAAAAGACACTATAGAAACTGTTAGATGTAAATGTTGCATTTAAAATGATGAAGTAACTTTTTCCAAGGAATGGCATGATAGGCATTAGAGTTAAATTCTAATATTTTGGTATATATTGAGTGTGATTAATGTATTTCATAGTTTAAAAGTATTAGTGAGAACTTAAATGTAAAAAAGCTCATTAGAGGCTGTACTCCCAGACACAACAAAAGAGCAATAGCAAATTGGAGGCTTAGCCTTTTAAATTATTATTTTATTATTATTATATTATTTAAATTTAGCCTTTTAAATACAGGCTGCTGTTGGTAGAATAGTACCAGTTTCAAAAAGAGTTGTTCGTTCCCCAGAGGTGTGTGAGTGGTGAGCAAGTTTCTTGGCTTTTAAGAACCCTGCTCCAAGCCTGTACCTGCTCAGAAAGAAATACGGAGATAAGTGTGGAAAATGACATCTGAGCATTAATGGTGATCCAAGTGCTTTGAAATTGATATGAGACGATGAAATATTCTTGAAGGAATTAGCATGTACCGAAGTAAGTGCAGGAGCAATTTTTTGATGGAGTAAAATGGAACAATTTTGAGAGGTGAGGATACAATTTGACTGAAGGTCTGAACAGAGAAACCTGTAGGTTCTATTTAATGTAAGGCAATTGACCATGGTTATGAGTGGCTTTTTTAAGAGAGATTTCACATGTAGTGCAGAAAAATAAGTTGGTCAGGAGTTTAGTAGTGGAGGGAGAAATACTTCTAATACTCATTTGCCCCTCATTGCTAGTTATCATAGTATTTTTAAATTCTAATCAGGAGAATGAGCAGAAAGGATAAGGAAGATGAAGAAACAGAAGGAATAAAGTGCTGATTTAAGTATCATTAAGTGGTATCTTCTGTGAAGATAGCTCTTTGCATAATGGGGGTATATGGACAAGTTTGTTATGCTGAGTTCTTACTGTCAGTGATAGCTTGCTCAGAAGAAAATGTCTACCAGTAGTGGCAAAAGAAAGATATGAAAGTTAAATTTTTAGCTGAGTAAAAATTGGAGGTGATGTTTAATGTTAATGAATTAATGAAAGCACTGGAGAAATTGAGGAAGACTATTTCTTTTGAAGAAATGTATTTTTTGTGGAAATTGGAACTTGGATAAGAGAAACTGTCTTCACCGGGTGAAGATGAATAAAAAGAAAATCCATTTGAACATTCAAACTGGCATGTGAGAGAACAAACAGTTTATTTTCTAAGTAGAAATACTTACATTACAGAAAAAAATAGAACTGTAAAATCTTTCTGTATAAACGTATGTAATTTCTGCAGGTATTTTTTATTCAAGATGCAAAATTAGGAACTATGCTTCCTGGAATAGAAACAATGTTTAAAAAATTGTGAAAGAATTGCTGACAAACATGCAGAAGCACAATTTTATCTTACAAAAAACCAAAAAAAACCAAAAAAACAAACAAAAAACCCCAAATTCTTCCTGTTTGTTCTGTAAGTGGGAAAATATATATTTCATTTAAGCTGTCAGTTTTCTTTTCCTATGATACCTTACTTGTTTCAGTTCTTAACAAAAACATAGAAAAGCAGTCCAGAAATAATTGAAGGCTTCTCTTAATTTTTGGACTGGATAAGTTTGTTCAGCTGTGTGCTGTGTATTACAGTGACATTATTATCAAGGATTGATAACATAAATTCAAGCCTCTGAACCTAGCAACAGTATCTGCTACTGGGAAATATCAAAGGTATCTACAGCTGAAAGATGAAAGAACAGTTGATCTTTTTTCTTTTCCCTTTGCCTAATGATAAGTCATTCTTAGAAGTGTAGCATTATTTCATTGCTTGTGTTGGTATTTCTTTTGCTATATAAATACTATATTTATTTTTAAAACAAGGAAGCCATCACTTTTAAAGCTTCAAGGAGGAAGTGTAACATGATGTGAGCTGGTGGATTGCTTTCTTTAAGTATCAGAGTTTTAATTGCAAATGTTATGCTGTTATTTATGATAAAAACTTGCTTTTTAAGGAAAATATATTTGTATGACTTACTTATTTCTGTGACCCTCACAGCCTAGTCTATTTTTGCTCCACACTCTTAGTTGTGTCCAGTTGATTAACAGAGTTGCATTTGTTTCTCTTTCAATGGGAAAACTTTTATGTTACTACCTGTGAATTGAGAGTTGTCTCCTACAGTTGTACATCACTTTAATGGATACTGCTCCCTGAAGATGGATTCTCATCTCCAAAAAGGATTTAGAATTTGTTGATTTCTAAAAAAAAAACCATAACATGAATGGATTATCATAAAACTGTGAATAAATCAATGTTTCTTTTTTATTTTGTTCTTGCTTTTCAAGCCTCCCTGTTTGCTGTAAGAATGGGGTTCCCATATGAAGATTTAACTACCCAGAAATCCCTTTCACTGTTTTCAGAGTGGCTTAATCGAAGCTGTCAGCCAAACTACTGGAAGGTACAGTGCAGTGATGGCAGTGAAGGGGGGATTTAGGAAGTCAGTAGTGCAGCATTGCCTCTTCCTTTTAGCTTATATTGAAGTTACACTTTACATGTGAAGAAAAAGAAATTTTGCTTGTTAGACAGAAAAAACTTGATGTTACTGAGCACTTGTTAGACTTGGAAGTGTATATGCCTAGTTATTATTTCTTAGGTCCTGCTGCTTCTGACCTTGCTGCAGCTGTGTTTTGGTGTGAGAGTTATATTTTGGTTTTTAACTGGAACAGGACTTAGCAAAATAAACAAAGCAGTGCGTGTATAAATTTCTGAAAGAAAATCTTACAGTAATAATTAAAATCTTTAAATAGTTAGTTGAGAAGCTTTATGCAGACCTATGAATACATCAGGTTAGTGCAGATATCCATGAAATTTACCTGTTGTGGTGAGCTTGGCTTGTTTAAATGGGGATTTTTTTACTTTGGGTGTTACAGATTTTTATGTTGGTACACTGGTTTGGGGTTTTTTTTGACCAGTCAGTTGAGCAAAGGAGAGTCTTTAATTTGAACAATGTAACTTTTTTTTACTTTATAATACCAGAAACCAGTCTTTATTCATTAAACAAAACAATCTCTGGGATCTTAGTATAACTCTGTGGTTTAAGTACATCTATTAAGTACATCTATTAAGGATATCTATTTCCTTTATAGTAGATTATAGGTATTGATTGGAGTATTTTTTACTATATCTGTATTGAATATGTCATATTATTCATGCAAATAACAAACTAATTACAGAATGTGGTGCCAGACTCTTCAAAATCCTGTGGACCCTATAAACGGCGTGCAAAAATAGCTTATAAAGAAGAACAGACCAGCTCACAAAGAAGTATTCAGAACCACGATACTATTGGTAAGAACTTTTGGTAACTCTGATGGTGATCTTTTTTTTTTCTCATTCCTCATATTTATTTAAGAAAAGTATTAAGGAAAATATTTCATAAAGGAATTTTTTCCTGTTTATAGTGTTTTCAAGATTCTGTTACTTACTGTGTTAGGATGGAGTGCCTAAAAGTAGGATTTGTTTTGGCTTTTTTTCCAGTTCACTGGTTGCACAGACATTTGCTTCATTTTTTGCCATTAGCTCTTTATCATTGCCCTGCTGCTTTTCCCACGGATACTTTGGCATAATTGCTTGGCCAGCTGTGGATGCTTAGAAAACTGACTAAGTTAAAAATAATTATGCTTATCTTGATTATGGTGTGCTGTCAGACCAACTTAAAAGGCCTTGCAGTGGTAGAAGAAATGAGTATACCAGTAATCCTGTTGCCAACTAAAAGCAGTGTGTGTCACACTCCTTAATCTTGTAAAATAAAGTTTGCTTTCATTTTTTCTTCTTTTTTCTAAATCAGTGAATTTCTCCAGAAACTAACATTAAAACAAGTTAGTAGTAGTCCCAGAAACTTCTAAGAGTTTTCTGATGGAGGACTGTTAATTGCTAAGCCTATAAGTTGATTAATGAGCAGATCAGACAAAGGACTAGGGCAGTTACAGATTTATGTCTTTCATATCTTTGTAGTCTTGAAACCTGCACTTTTTGGTTTAGTTTGGATTTTTCTCAGTTTAGCAATCCAGAACTTTTTGTCTGATGGTCTTTACAATACCAAGAATTAAGCTGTTTCAAGTGTGAATCTTTCTTCGTTTCTAGTTCATCTTACTAATAATCAATTAATAGTCTATGGAAGTCAGGCAACCTATCAAATTCTCAAGTTGATAGCTAGCTTACTTGCTGGGGTAATTCGGTAAGTGGTGGAAAACTTAGAAATTGTGGAGTTTGAGGAGAGAGGAATCTGCTAAATACAGTTCAGGAATTGATCGATCATTAAGTAATCCTAAGCTGTTTTGTAGTAAATGATGGTATTTTGTATTACTACTTCAAGTTTTCCCACCCCATTGTTTTACATATGAAATATCTCTGTGAGTAGCACATTTTGAGAGGAGTCTTAATTCAGCATACATCTTGGACATTGGTAAGAGCTGATGCCCTTCCAGTTTTTTTTGCAGAGGCCATTGGGTCTGTGCCTCTATGTTTTTAGCTCCTACTGGTCAGGAAAGAGAAGAAGATGCTGTTTAGAGACTTCAGAGAAACAGAATTCAGCTCATGAAATTCTGCTTCCTGGCTCTTTGTACTCAAGTTTTATGCTAGCAGTAATTCATGCCCTCTTCCGCTCTATGGAGGTAAAGTCTTGCTCTTTGGAGAAACAACTGATCCCAAATCTTTCCAAGTGACAATCTAAACTTCTTAAGTATGAGGCAGTGGCTTTCCTTCCAGCACAAAATTAGCAAGGGGTAGGCTCATCCATACATTTGGTTGTCCATTGTGTAATTCTAGTTACTTTGGTAGGCAATATGTCATCTTCTGCCAAGTTTAAGCTCATGCTTCTGACTTGTTTGATTTCCTTCAAGTACTATTTGTAATTTCTGAACTTCATTGTTCTGATGGTATTGGTGCTCAATGTGGTGACACCAGGTACTTGTTCTCTACTGGTTAACAAGGTGTGTATCAGGAGGCAGTGGCTGCATATGCAGCAGCAGCAATATATAGCTCTGAACAGTGTGGCATTCACTATTTCACATTCCTTTTTGAGCACTTGTAATAGATTGTAAAAATCTTCAAATCTCTTTGAAAAGTAAATTGTTTTCCTAAAGAGTACAACTCCTGTATTTCAGGAGATCAGTAATTTGGATAGTCTGGGCATTGTGGTTCTGTTTGATAAGCGTAGTACTAACTAAATAAATATGTTAGTAGTGTTTCTGAATATGTTTTTTCCCTGTTGAAAATCTTAGGTATGGTTGTAATTGGTGTGAATGGAACCGTTGCTTCTGGGACATCTACTAATGGTGCAATCCACAAACTTCCAGGGTTAGTATGTCTGATTTTACAAAAAAGCTTTTTTCTCCATCTTGTTTCCCATGTTAAACCTGTCATTGGGGATTAAAACGTTAACCTTTAGATCACAAAACGGCTTTGATTTTTTTTTTTTTTGTGCACTTGCCATAAATCCTAATATTGAGTGATTCAGTTGAAAGACTACATGTGTTTATTTGAGAGAATGCTTGTTTCTCAGATTGCTTAATTTGCTATACAGAGACACAAACCACTGGCACAGTTGTGGTACAACTTGTAAGGCAAGGCACCAGAGACAAATAAGCATTTTGGAGAGGCGCACAGTCCCCTAAGAAATGTACATAAAATCAGAGCCTCAGGCTTGTGTTTTGTCTTGGAGATACTTTTTCTACAGTTAGGATTATTGTCTGTCAACCAAGTCAGACAACTTCTGGATTTAGCAACAAGTTATTGAACATATTAATGTCCCCAGCTGCTTACTGTTGCCCACAGGCTAAAGCTCACTGGCTTAACTATAGTCAGTATAATAACAAGCCTCAGGTCTGTCAGGTTATCACAGATCACTTTCACAGGTAGTTTAAGACAAGACTTTTGACTGCAGTGGATTGACCTCTTTCCCTGTTCTGTTTTCCTGTGGGTTTAATGCTAAGTCAGCTGGAAGCAATAAGGCTAGCAAAGTTTGCGTTTTGTTTTCCACTGTTCACTGCAGACGTGTTGGAGATTCTCCGATAGCTGGAGCGGGATCCTACGCAGATAGTACAGCCGGAGGAGCTGCAGCCACCGGGGATGGTGACATCATGATGCGCTTCTTACCCAGGTTTGTCCTTAGGGTAGACTTTGCTAGATTTCTGCAGCAAAATTTGGACTCAGCAAATGAAGATACTGATTAAAAATATGGTCTGACTTAGTGGCTGCTGAAGTTGGGAGTAAAGGAAGGAGTGAAAGGGGAAAGAACAGTAGCAGAGCCAAGTTCCCATTATGATCTATCTTAAAAGAATAAACTTAAATATCTTGATGACAGATTCCTTAATACTACCAAGCTGTGAGGAAACAGTCAGTGGGTAATATTTCCAACCCGTATGCTTTTTAGCAGAACTGATTACCTTTCTTCTCCAAAGCAATTTGTTGTATGGGAAAGTATCATAAATTGTAGAAAGGATGAGGTGTGGGTCTCGGCTCACATAGGAGGTATCACTGCAGCAATCCTTTGTAATTGCATGTAATTGGAAACTGAAAGAGGTGTTTTAGTGTTGTCACCATGTTTGCATAAACTGTGTAAGATATGGCTCTCTTCATGAGCATCCTTGTGAGTCAGTCTCAGCAGGAATCAATTACGGAAATCCATGCTGAACATAATGGGCAGTGATGCTTAAAGGATAATATAGAAGTGGCTTTTATATTGCTCAGACAACTTTTCTGAAACTGGTAGCCAAGAAAGTCTGCTAGCTGATGCATATTTACAGATGTTGTCAGTGAATTTCAGACTGTTCTGAGTGAGTCTTTCAAATCCAAGGCAGTTGACAACTTCATAAATCTTGCCATACAAAATACCAAGATGAGTAGTAAGTTGATCTCCATAATAAGGTTAGTCAGTAAAAGCTTAGATTGCAGTTAAGCAGCCTGAAGTGTTTGTCTGTAATGCTTAAAATGTTTCATGTTGGCATCAGTGGGTTAACCACCAGGCTAGGTGATTCATTGCTGGTTCTTATAGATAAAGATTTTCACTAATTCCATAATAATTAGATATTCCCACATGAAAACAAAGACAAGAATTAACCTCCCAGAAGTGAAGGAAGTGTCAAATAAAGGGCAAAATTGCTAATATTTTCTGTATACCTTCCTTGATATAGCAACTTCTTGTTGAGTTTTTGATTAGTAAAGAGACCTCTGTGAAATACAGCTTTATATTCAGATAGTTATCTTTAGATAACTTGAACCTATTTGACTGTTAGAATAAATCGAATATAATAGGGAGTCTCAAAATGCAAGAGTCACTCTTCTCTGTGATACTTTGATAACATCTGTAATTAATGCAGTCTGTAGATGCCTTAGTGTAACGAGTTGGTCTTGGTATATGCATCTTTCATCAAAGTGATAAAATGTTTGCTTGTCTGTCATGAGTTATCATTTAATCTTCAGGTTCTAAAAGAAAATGGAAACATAAGTAATGTTTTTTCCACAGGATATTTTGGAAATGCAACTGGTTCATCTCAAGCAATTCCTTTCCATATAAAGGAAATTCATTTTGATTACTCACAGAATATGTGGTTTTTTTAATCACTTTGCAAAAATTTGGAAAGTGGCTCAAACTCTTGATGAAAACATGATACCTTCATATTCTTAAAATAAAAAAAATGTGTCAATTTTGATGTTTTCAGAAACTTAAATTTTTTCTGAAAGATTTTTTTAGTGCTTACTGAACTCAGTAATTTATCAGTAATGTAATATTGAGTTTTCCTCAAAAAGTTATCTTGACATTAACCTTTATCAAAACTAGCAATTACTTCTAGTGTCAAATTCAATTGTGTAATAAAAAATAGAAGCCTCTAAGTCTTCTAAGCCACTGCTCCTTGCAGTTTTTTAACTGATCTTTTGCTTTGCCTCTACTACTGCAAAAGATCAGAGTTCTCTCTTGGCTTGGCCTGCCATAGACTGGTATAGATGTCATCTTGTAGTCCCTTTTAGTCTTGCTTTTAATTGCTTTTTTATGTAAAAGTTGAGTTACAATTGCCAATATTAAGTTGGTCTAAAAGTTATATATCATGTGTTTCCATTATTCAGAGAAACCAAGGTCTCTTCTGTAGTTGTTTAAATTATATAACCTGAGTATAGCTAATTTTCTGGGTATGGGGTTGGGTTTTTTTTAGTTACCAAGCTGTGGAATACATGAGGATGGGAACAGACCCAACAGTAGCCTGTCAGAAAGTTATTTCCAGAATCCAGAAGTACGCTCCAAAGTTCTTTGGTGCTATCGTTTGTGCCAATACAACTGGAAGTTACGGTATGTATTTTCTTTTGCAGACAAAGTTGCTTGACCCTAACTAGGTCACAGATTTACAAAACTGAATGTAGATTTTAAAGAAGTCATGAATTAGTCTTTGAAGACTGCAGTGGTACTGTCCATTCGCAGTATGGAATGCTGGTTAGCAGGGCAGCTGTGTCCTAGTGCAGACTGGAGATAATTTAATTTTGCGTTTTGATGTTGTAGGCTTTCACAAAATTTTTTGAAGTCTTAGCAAAACCCAAAAATATTTACAACCTTCATTTGTTTTCCTGGACTGTATATGATTAATTTGAAGGTTTTTAAAACAGATTGCTTTGCCTTCCCTAGATATGGCATAAGGGAGGGAGAATATAAATGTTAAGCACAGCTTCAAAGTGATCTAAGAGTAGTCATTGTGCCAGGCATCTCATTAATGAACTCTTAGATCAGTAGGAAGTACAATTTGCTAATCAGTGTGGATTATTTTGTTAGACTGCCTTGCTTATTCTTTGTTCTCTTACTTCCTATAGTTCTGTGTTTAAGAGATTAGTGTTGAAGGAACTCATTAAATTAATCGGGATTGAAAGAGAGAGAGATTTTCCTGACTTGTGTTACTCTTTTTAATTGTAGTATAAGGGCATTAATTGCACTACAGCAGTCAGTAATACTATATTTTAACTTAAAAATTAAATACTTTCAAGATGTCTTGGGTTAAACAGATTGTAAAAGAATAATCATACCACTGTAGTAGAATTAGTAACTGGATCTTTAGATGATAAAATACAGTGACAGAGACACTAATCCCAAATGTAGCAAATTAGAAACTTCTTTTCTTTTTTTTCCTAGGTGCTGCATGTAATAAAATTCCAGGATTCACTCAGTTTCACTTCATGGTTTCGAACCCTTTGCTAAGTCAACCAACTGAGCAAGTAGTAGACTGCATTTAATTTCTTTTCTCCTATTAGCATCTCAGCTTAGAAGAGGATACTGCCAAGTTCCACCAGTTATTACATCTCAAAATGGTTGTTTCTAGCATTTAATGGCTGTTATGGTCTGCTTGTTTTCCTAAGAACTGAGTAGCCAGAAGTGATGAATAATCATTCAACAGGCCCTTTGCTTTGACAATTAAAAATATATTTGTCAGACATCTGGAGTAATGGGCTGGAAGTGGAACTATGACTCTACACATAAAATTTATGTTGAGAATATTTAATTATCTTTCTAAGATTTAGTCCAGGTTTTTTCTTTTGAAAAGAAAATTGCATGAAAATGCTGACATACAAAGAGGCTTGAGGAGTAGTGGAGACTATTTCAAAGCTTTAATGAAGAGGTAAGAAGTCCTTATGGACTATTTTACCTTGTTCCACAACAGCTGAGAATACATTTGAATAGAGAGTACATTCTAGCATCCCTGGTAGTACAAACCTTCAAGGAATTTTGGTTGACTGAACTGGATATGGAGACAATTGGAAATCATCCTGTCACCTGTTTATTGTAGTGGAAGTAAAGTTATGAACCATAATCCCAGTGATTTCCTTGTCAGTAATATGCTGTGCGCTCACCCCGTCCGACAGCGCATTAACCTCTGCAAAGGAGCAGTTGAATGCCTAGAGTGTGACAGTTACCTACAGCTCTGGCTTTTGTCATTTTTCTGTGTCTAGAAACACCAGGATTCATTTGTAATAGAACTTTAGCATCATGAGGATTATTCCCCAGGTATTTGAAGATCTGTTTGATCATTCTCTTAAATTGGTGGCTTACTGATCATTTGATGGAATCTTTGCTAAACTTTAGCTAGGAAATTGCAGGAGCGGGGAGTGAATAAAAAGAATGTGTCTTATCACTTTAATTATTCTCTGTCTATTTAAATAAAATCATTGGGTAATAAAAGCACACCTTAATGTATTAGTAAAGTTGTTTAGATTCTTGTGTACTGTGCCTTAAATTGATTGCCGCTTTATGTTTCAAATTGGTATCTTTAAAAGCCGGAAATAAAGCATTCAAACTAGACTGGCTATCTTTAATGGTCTGCTATTGAGCTTCATTCACAAAGTGATTTACTGACTCCTGTCACTGGATCCTCAGAGCATGTTGTAGCAGTATTCACTGCAGGCCACAGAAAGCTTTTTTCAGAGAAACTCCTACTGAATATATCTGTAATAGCTTAAGATTAGTTTCCTACCTGTGCTACCTACAATCCTTCTGCCATGGCTGCTCTATCTTCAGATAATTTGGGCAGTCAAGTGCAAATAGATTAATAAAATCCTAGTGATTTCTACTTTGAAGATTGCATTGTGTCTTATGAATGTAGAAGGTTCAGTACTGGGAGCTGAGTGGTAATGTCTCAAATTGCTGCAGCTGAATCCTCCAGGATTCATTTCTGAAAGAGGTTTGGGAACACCCAAAGCTTGCTTTCTAGAGGGTTTATGTCACTCTGTACTAGCTAGTCTACGCCAGTAAAGGTTATGAGTGCCCTGTAACAGTGTACTTTGAAGTCACTGTTACAGTGCTAACTTTCTATATAGTCAGGTTATCTGTGCTGGTCGACAGCAGCTGAACATGAGCCAGCTGTGCCCAGGTGGCCAAGAAGGCCAGCAGCATCCTGGGCTGTGTCAGCAATAGTGTGGCCAGCAGGAGCTGGCAGGGACTGTCCCTCTGTACTCAGCACTGGTGAGGCCACACTGAGTGCTGTGTCCAGTTCTGGGCCCCTCACAACACAAGGGACATTGAGGGGCTGGAGTGAGTCCAGAGAAAGGACAATGGAGGTGTTGAAGGGTTTAGAGAGTAAATCCTAGGAGCTGCTGAGGGAGTGGGGTTGTTTAGCCGTGAGAAAATGAGGCTCGGGAGAGACCTTATCGCTCTCTACAGCTGCCTGAGAGGAGGGTGTAGCCAGGTGGGAGGCAGCCTATTTACCCAGACTGCCGGTGACAGGACAAGGGGAAGTGGCCTCAAGCTGTGCCAAGGCTGGAGATCTTTTCCAACCTTACAGATTCTATTATTCTATCAAAATTACTTGTCTCCATGAGACATAGGCACTAATACATGTGGTTTGATAATGTGGGTTGCTTTGTGATGTTGCATTAGTTAAAAATAAAAGGGTTAGTTTGTGTAAATTATTTTGATATATCATTAATTTGACAATATATTAAATAATATTAAGAATGTACCATTCTGATGTTATGGATGAAATTCAGAGTTAGAAAAATAATGTGTTTGGTAAATATCTTAAATATTTCTTTAATTGTTGTTAATGGTGTTCTGTTATGCTTAGCAGACACACAAATTCTTTTAGGAAAGATAAATATCAAGTACAGACTCTTGTCAAAAGTTAGCAAAAACTATGACAGTTTCTTCTGGGATTGCAAAAAAGTATTTTACTGTTTTCCATTTCAGCTTTGACTATCCAACTTTTACAACAGAATATGAGGATTTGTGATTTAATGGTTCAGTTGAATGCATCTGCCTATAAAGCTGTGAGGCTTTTTAAAGTTCATTAGCTTCTTTTTAGCCATTTTTTTTCTGTTTCCAAAGACAGAAAAAGAATCTTTGCCCAACAGTCTGACTAAAAGTGAACTGTGCTCTATTTTTGCATGTCATCAAATTGTTCCTTAATAAAGCAATCTGTGTGTACCCCGGCAATATTTCCTATGCACTTGCTGAAGAAAGCTTTCCTGTGTTTTCACCATTTGTAGGTTACCACTGAAACATGTTCTTTCAGTTGTAACTGCCTCAGTCAGGAATAATTTAGAGAATTCAAGATTGATTTTTAGAAGGAATGTACAGTACTATATACACCAACATGAATCTATCAGCATTTGTTTTTTGAGTTTAGTTTATCATGTGACTATTGTAACCCATTAACAGTGCTGTTCATTCTTGTTTTGAAACATATGCAGGATTTCTGTGCTATTACCTATAGTCTGTGTGCATGAAGAAACATCAGTTATACATTTAAATTTACTCCAGCTCTAAAATACAGCAGGTATTTTATATATCAAGCACTAAAGTGTGTTTTCATTGGAGGGTCTGTTCATTCCTCTGCATAAATGCCATTAAATTTACAGCAAAAACTGAAATGTTCATGAAGCAGAAATGACTGAATCTCAGGATTTTGTGGCTAATATTGTTATTGTTTAAGCTATTGAGTCAGAAGCAAACATTTATGTTTGTGCATTTAACAACCTTAGCTGTGTTTTCATTTTCTTTTTTCCCCTAACAGTTGAAATCAATGTAAGTAAATACAGCTGCTGGTACATTGCTGTCTTGGTGTGATTAGCTCCTACCTTTACAGTGACCTTTGCATACTTGCCAGGCAGACTCTGAAGTACATTTTGATTCTAATTCTGTTTGTTGCTAGGTTATGATTGTGATTGCTGGTGCTGGGTAATTGTATAGAAAGCAGCGGACTTCGCCACTTGAATGTAGTTGGAATGTTGGGTTGCAGTTTATATTTCTAGTTTCTAAAAATTTGTCATTTAAATGTCTGAAAAAATAAGACATTCAATTTAGAAATTCAAGGCAGATTAGAAATTCAATTGAATTATTCAGTTCAATTCACTGGATTTCAGAGAAATCCTGTGGCCTTGTGGTTTTTTGAGTATTCTTATGGACAGATGGGAATACCCAAATTTGTTATTTTTCCAATACAAGTATAGAAATATTGTTATAGACCTAACCCTCCCAAACAGGAGAAAGGCTTTTTCTTCTATAATCAGAAGAATCACAGTAGTATTTTCTGTGTATGTTCTGTCAGTAATGGTACTTTTTATTTTCTTCAAATCTGTAATCTATCAGTTTATAAATGTTTTCTTTTTATCAATTTTGCTTTCTTTGCTGTCAGCTTTTTTGACACAATCTGGCTACACCCATCTAGGTTCAGCTGTTGCTTAATTTTCTTCTTGACGTGTACTTCATGCATGACACAGACTGTGTTGTAGTATAATTTTATCATGTAGTATTTGTCAGGGAGGATTCAGTTCTATATGATATGACCTTTTAAAGGTGCCATAATTGCTGAAGCAGTGGATTACAATATTGCAGCAGTACAGGTTTAGATTGTACTTAGCGAGATCATGAATGTGTATTGTTCATAAGTAGATGCTTGATGGCATATGTGGTTATTTATTAAATACAGGGAGACAGGCTTTTTGAAAATAAAAACGGTTATGCTGCTAGCTTAATGCTGCTCCTGGATAGACATTGTAACAAGAAAAAAATCCAAGACAAATTATCATGGATCATCTGTGAGATTTGTGTTTGGGTTGGCAGGCTAATACATACAGAAGTACAAAGAAACTGAAACTTCACATAAATTAATGTTTTTATCAGCAGCATTTTTCCTGAGCATTGGGTTGCAATGCAGAACTGACAGTTTCCTACTTTCCTTGTGTAATCATTTCTGTAGCTATGTGGGGGTTTTTTTCTGAAGTTTTCACAGTAATAGATGTAGCAAAATATTATGGTTTAAAAGGGTGGATGTAAAAGATATTATAAACAAGTTTAATTCAGATGCAGTCAAGTGTGCTTTGCTAATCTGGCTCTTACTAAAGACTAATTTGTATGTTATAGAGTAGAAAATAAATTACATTGGAGTATCTTCAGTGTTAATGAACTGTAGCTATTGACATTCCATCTGTACCCATTCTTAAAAATCTGCCAACATGAAAAGTCCTGTGATCTCACTTCTCAGCTAAAGTTATGACAGCTTCTGTTAGTGCTTAGTGAAAGTGCTAGCCCCAAAAACGGATCTTTAGGGGTAACATCACTTTGCTGCTTGAGCTTAAGGGTGTTACCAGCCTTTAACTGATTCCTGCAGTGCTACTTCTCCCTGCCTGCTGTGTCTCTTTGCTGGAGGTTACTGTTCCTGTACCAGGACTGGCAGACTGGTGCATGCTTCATTCCAGATCCAACAGTTTAGCCTCTCTGACCTCCCTCTGCACTTGGAACTGGGAAGAGCAGTTGCCTGCACCCCATTCCATGTGCTCTGCTGGGGGGTTCATAACTTCCCATCTAAGAGCTGCAAGAAAAGGCTGCAGGGCTTGCTGAGGGAGCATGCATCAGGTATGTATATCATACCATCATCATTCCTGTAAGCATGTCAGCTCCAGGAATCATAGTTACAGCAGTGCTAACAATATCCACCAAAAGCAACTGTACTGGACCAGGAACAATTAAGTGTTAATAACAAATAACAAATAACAATTAATAATGAAAGGCTGAAGACAAGGTTGTATTTTGTCTATCTAAAGGATGATTTCAGCTGAAGATAGAATCTTTTGCTCAAAAGGGGTGTTACTACCCACATCCTGAAGTATGTGTTCTCTCTTCAATTAAGGTTCTGGTAATTGTGGAGCTTCACAAAATGGATCAGCTTGCTGTCTAGCTAAAAACAAGTAATTTTTTTCTTTTTCAAAATGTAAGCAAGCTGTTCTGTTTTACTTTAAGGCCACACAGTTGCTAATGCCAACAAAAGGTAGAATGCAGGGATACACAGTAGGGAACTGAGAAGCATGGAAAATTATCCAGCTGTGACAGCACATTCTTAGTTTGGCAAAAGACTTCTAAATTTTCTTGCAGATTGAGGTAAGGTGCCTGTCTCTCTGCAGGTTTCATGATTCCACCCTCAGGCTAGAGGCCCATCTACTGTTTTTCCCCCAGTATAATTCAGTAAAAGATACGAAAAACTTGGATTGGCATCCAGTTATTCTTTCATTTTTTTTATCAACAGGCTATAGTAATATTTTCCTTATTCTCTCTTCTGTCATGTAAATACTTAATTTAGGTTTCCCATTTTCAGGATGGGAAAGTACAGAATCCCCATATAACTTTTGGATCACCTTCCCTTTGTTAAAATGTGAATTCGAATTTCTGCTGACTGAGGAGGCTTTACAACTTCAGAACAGCTGCTGCTACTACAGTGCTTTATGAAAATGTGAGCACTATGAATTGAGTCTCCTTGACTGGCTATTTAATTGAAAGTCACTGTGAGATGTGCTTTGTGTTAACACCGCTGTGTTTGGACAGACTATGAGATTGGATTCTTGGGGAGTTCTGTCAAAGGGATATCTGGTTACTGAATCACAAAGAGTTTTAGGGAAGAGACAATCACCAATATGCTCAGTGGAGCTAAGATAACATCTGCAGCCACACTCAAGAATAGAGCCATAACCCTGTAACTTAATTTGAAAAATCAAGACTCTCAGATTTGGGAATAGAAGCTTGATCTTGCATAAAGTTGTACTTTTGTAACAATAATGTAGTGACTCACTATGAGAAATATAAGTGCTAATGTCAGATAAATATTCCAAGTGTCATTTGTAATTATAATTTTTGCACTTTGGTCAGGCAGCTATTCATGACATCCCAATCAGTGTTGAATTTAACCATTATGCTTTAAAGGCTGAAGCCTTTACTTTCACTGTTTGTTTAGAGTGCTTCAAAAAGGGAAAAGTTACCTTTTCTTGGGAAGTTCCAAAATAGACCTAGACACTGGAATCCAACATTTTCAGCTTTATGAAGACCTCAGTACGTTGTAGCAGCTGCTGCTTTCTATCTTTGTAAGTATCCGACATCTGTATGTGATTTTGTTAGTGGGGTTGCATAAAACCAGTAGCTCCCACTGCTGGTAAGGTAACAGGCCCTCAAGCTCAACCCCAGGGCCTTGTTGGATGGACCTGCTGGCACACTGAATGCTGCTCAGCAGGCAGGGAGTTTGTGCATTTGTGGCTTGTTGCATTTCTTCTAATGACTGTGCTATTACGTGTGAAACATGAAAATCCATGTTCAAATAATAACCTGCCTAATTATCCTGTAATGCTGAGGCCAAAGAATGTTTTTCTCCTCATTTGCCTTTAATAAGTAGAAATTAATTTATACTAGGTGGAACAGTTTCAGTAAGAAACAATGAGATGACGAGCAAGGTAGCACGTGAAGACCTGCTTCTTTAGGAAAATGGAAGATTCCACAAGGATACACATCCTGAACCATGTCTCTTCCTGTCAGTGCTGGTTAGGTAATTACCTGTGAAACACAGGTAATCAAAGCAACCACCAAGCCACAGCTAAAATGCAGAGTAGATTTATTTAATTACCTTGTTCACAACACATGGCAGCAGAGACACACTCGGACACAGGCTCCTTGGGTTTAGCTCATCCTAGTGGCCACCAGGAGGGTCTCTGCCTGCCTCACTACCACAAAAGGCTTTGTGCATCTCTGTGAGAGTGTTATGTTTACAAGAATTCCACTTAAAACAGGCAGAGGATAAACCACACTAGACATAAAAAATGGACATATTTGTTCCCCACACTGACATTTTTAGCAATCCCAGCTGCAAGGTCACTGTGAGCACAACTATTCCCTCCTCCTCACCATATCTTCTGGTTTTAACTCTTTCCACCCAACAGATCGTATGTATTCCTTGAATACCAGCAGAGCTCAGAAAACAGACCAAGTGGTTCCTGAGTGGTTCACTAATAAGACATTAAGGCAACTTTCTGGTAGAATTCTGATAGCGAGAATTTGCTGTCAGTGTGGTTCTTTAACCTCCCATTTATGACATTTTCATTTTAACAAGTGTCTGTTCCCAATAGTGTTATGACTTAATAGTGAATGGCTAACAGCATACATATGTCATGCTTCAGAATTACAAGATAGGCGTTCTTTTCTCATAGAATGAGTAAATTTTATTCTCAAACCAAATATGTGAGAGTATCAGCCTAGGCAAAACCCTTTTCTTTGTGCAGTCACAGTGTCAGGTCTGCCATCCCATGTGTGGAATTTACAGTTAACAAATTTCAATATTTGTAATGATGTTCTGGCAATGTTAGCAGCCTGTCCACAGGAGAACAATTTAGCAGATATCATTGTAATCTTAGTAATTAATTAATGATCAGTAAATTTTTCTTACATCCAAGAATGTTTACTTTAGCCTTACTTAACAGGGTTACGGAAACATGTGTTCGGAAATGATGCTTCAGGGTGAGCTATCTGGTAAAGCAGTGTTACAGCCTGAACAGAAAAGTGCACACTGATTGAGGTGAGAAATTGTGACTGCCATCTGTCTTGATCATATGGCCAAGCAAATGAAATTTATGTTTCAGGATATTTTATGTCTGAAGAAACTACATTCATTCATTCATTCATTCATTCATTCATTCATTCATTCATTCATTCATTCATTTTTATTGCAGAGAATAAGTGGGAGTTGTTTTATTTTCTTCTGCAATCTGAGTACATATTTTCCTGTGTCTTGACTGCCTCAAACTCATACCTTTATGAAGTCTTCCAAAACTTCTGGAAAAATTATAGTTCTAGCCAACCCAAACAAATTTCTGGACTTGCTTTTGTATCAGAGAAGAGAGTTAGGGTCATCTGGCAGGCCTGCAAAGAAATTATAGAATAAATTACTATAATTTATGTATCATGGTGGCAAAATTATATGTGAATGGACATTAAGAACAATTGAAGGTCATTTCTTTTGACCTTACTGTTTGTTTGCAATGCTGTTATTATTTGCAATATCTAGGAAACAATATTTTCAGTGGTTATGCACAGTACTCTCTAATTTAGCAGCTTTCAGAAAGCAAGGTAATTTCAGATACCCTTGATACTAAATACATAGTTTCAGTTGTGTATACTTCATTTTCAAAGTTGATGTGCTTTCTTAGCACTGAGTATGGCTGGTTCTTGACTCACTCATCGTGAATAGATGCAGCCTGCTGCCAGTTGGTGGCCAGGAGTGAGCCTGCAGTTCTGCCACTGAAGGAGTGGAATCCAGGAGCTGCAGATTTTGTGTGTCCCGAGTCATTCTCGTTCCTAGGAAACAATCACAACATCAGTTACAAGGGTTTTTTTTTCTGTTATTTTTTCAATCAAGCAGCCCAAACAAGCTCTAAATATAGCGTGAATATAATCACCTATACTGTCATTAAAAGACTCGTCTCAATCAGCAGAGCCTGCTGACTGATTGTCACCTGAAACCTTGCAATTAACACAATGACTAGTATTTTTGACAAAATAGAAGACTATAACTTGATTAATAGTGCTATCTCAGGAACGTTTTTTTCCAACATTTATTACCATTAAAACTGTCAGTCCTGCATACCGTATCACTTTTTAAGACTTCACAACAAATACAGCTAAATGGATGTATGAAAACTAGGCTTATCTGGCTTCTAGAAATTTTAGGAACAAAGTTCAAGTGCTTGAATTTTTTCATGTGCTTCATGTGTTGGTATAACAAATTAAATGAAGTTAATCCACCATGTGCAAAGAATAAGGCTTTAAACTGAATTTGAAAGTAATGTGTTCTAGGTAGCACCCAAATGTAGCTTGTGTAGAACAATGAGGAGGAAACAAAAGTTTTTTGAATTGCAAGTGATAATCATTATCAGGGACTGAGTTCAGTAATACCTAATGTATTACATTCAAACTATCATCACCTGAGATCTGCAAAATAAAGTTTTAGATTAGTAATAATGACAATTTTTTTTTAACTGGGGAGTGAGGGGAACCTCCTTATATGAACTATAGTTTCAGGGTTTTATTTCCCTCACCTGAATTCCACCTTCTATTTTGCCCCATAACTGCTTTTCTCCTGTTTCAATCGATAACTAAATAGTTCCTGTTCTAGTTTATCAAAACAAATTATGATTAGCAAAACATAAACAGTTGAAACTCCTATAGGTCCTGTAATATCTGCATATCTGAATAGCTTTATGGCAAAAGTTTTTTTCTGTTCTTATGTCTCATTCTGTATTGCTGTGTCCGAACAGGCCAAGTCAGGCTGTAGAGGGATACTTTGTATGGTTACACCTTGCTTGGGTGACCTGATCTTTGTCAGGGCTGGGCTCTGTGGGAATCCGAGAACCTTTAGTAGCTAACGTTGAGACTGCATGTTTAGTGCATTTTCCCTGCAAAAGGAAAACATATTTTCTGATGTTTTTATGTGATGGTGGTTTTTTTGACTTTTAATTCCTTTTCAGTGGTTCTATGTCTTACAAAGATACAAAAGTTTCAAAGGTAACTTTCTGAAACCTTCAGTCCTTATTGTGTATTGTATAATATCATTGCTACTTTTAGCATCTGACACTGGTTTACATTACTTGCAGTTATCCTGAGTAATTTATGGGAAAAGACTGGGTATGATAATATGAGATATATTTGTTTTGGTCTACTTGAAGTCAGTTCATGTTTTTAAGAAATGCATTTGCTGAAAGCGTGCATCTATAGAAGGGTTTTCATTTTGTATTGTAAAGCCTTGTCCCATTAGATGACTTTAGACTGATGAAAAATAAGTATATTCTGTTTTTCTAGTGAAGTATAGCATGAGACATTGCATAGATTTCTAGGTGAAACTGTATGGCATTGAAATACTTAGTGATGATTGAACCTTGGAAAGAAGCTGAGAAGTGACAAAAACAGTGCAACTAACATGAGCTGCCAGAGAAGCAAAGGATATATATTCTCCATGTACAGTAAGGTAAAGAGAAAAGCAAGTGCATTGTTTTTCTAATTTCTTCTCCATACAAATGATTTTAAGCTTGCTTTTGCATTCTAGTGTCAAGTGCGTTTTTTACTTTTATCCTCTACAAGGCCAAGTATTGACTTAAGTGTTATTTCTCATCTGTAATCAAAGCAAGTTACACTGTTACATTTAAGATCACTTCACGCAAAAATACCATCCTTAAGAAATTTCCCAACAGCCTGCCATCTTTGCCTTGAGTGGAACTTCGATTAAATGTATTTTTCACTTTCATAGGCTCAGCAGTATTAAAAGCGTAATCTACATATAAAATTTAAATTTCAATTTTAGCTTTTTTATATATATCTTGTAACTTGAGTGTTTTTCTAAAGACATTTCAAAATTTTCATTTTTATGTTTAAGATCATCTTGAAGTTCTAGAACATATTTAATAAATTAATGAGTGTTTGGATTTTGTTTCTTTTTTATTAAAACCTTTGGGATTTTGCTGGTATAAAATTATAGTTAGAGAAATGTAGTCTGAATTATTTTTTATGAGAGGTTATGCATTATTTTTTTCTCTGCTTGTTCTTAATGGATATTGCCATAGGTTTAAAATAATGTTAGCCTAAGCCAATATTGTGCTTTTCAGTTCAACTGGCTGGAACGAAAGCACCATGCAAATGCTACTTCACTGGGGGTGGGTAACAAAGCTGGTGATCTCTGTGTTGTGCTGCATTGTTTTTTGAATAAAGCTTAAAATGTGTTCCCAGTTTTCTCCATTTCAGGTAGTCTTTTCCATACTACAGTGTCCTAGTCTCTAATAAATTATGAGGGATTTTTTGCACATCAAATGATTACTCTCACTGTTGTCCTGAGTACTGTGATAGAATAAAAATGTTATGTTTAAAGAGAACAGCCAGAAAAAAAATCTAAATCCACATGTTTTCCACAGAAGTGTAGGGTAGGTGATTATTTAATTCGTTCTAGATTTAAGATAAAGTGAATAAATACTTCTGAGGAATATGTGATATACAAGCTTCTATGGCAAGGCCCACTTGAGTACTGTATCTTTGGAGCTGTCTGGGATCCACCTGAAGCACAGACCAGTCAGCAGCACTTACACACAAGTCATTTTATAGTTCAGTGAAATCTGTAGTTGGATTTACTCATAACCTGAGATTAAAGCCTGTTAAATCTGAGCTCAGAGCAGTTGGATTGCAGCTAAATTGTTGGATGATCTAAAATGCAAGGTGGAGGTAATACAAGTTGGAGTGAAAGACCACACAGACTTTTGGTGTCTGACTAAGATTCCAGCTCCATATGTAGTTGAACCAATCGAATGGGCCTTCTCCTGCCAAAACAGAGGAACTCTTGCTTCACTTTCCCCTCAATGTTCCTAACTACACATTTCATCCCACCTCTAAGTCAAGCTCTGCTGCTCAGTGCCTAGAGGTCTCTCTTTACTCTGCCATGTCTCTTAATTAGATTCACCTAAAACCTTAGTATTAAAAGATGAGTAGTGTTAGCATCTTTTCATAGTATGATCATATCACATGGCTAATGGCTGAAAGACAGTCATGTTGTTTGAAGTTGATTTTACAATAAAAATTATAAAGCATACAAACTGCAGGGACCTGTACTTCCTACAGCAGTGGCAATTCAGTAAGTTAAATAACTAAAGCACTATGTTTAGACAATACTGTGTACACACTGAATTCTGCTCATCCATAAGTGTGCTTTATGCATTTTTAATAAGCTTTCATATGGAAAATAATTTGTTGGGTTCTCTCCTTAGATTGGGTTTTATTTTGTTGTTCCACTAAGATAAATTATAGCCCATTCCCACACACTTCTGAATTAATTTTGAATGTATGTTTTGAATATTCAAGCAAAAGTTTGATATAATAAACAGTCTTTCAGGCATCAGAAAAATAAAAAACAAACCTGCAGAATATTAAGTTACACTGGAGGCTGAACTTTGCCTGTCATCAGCAAGCTGAATTGCAGAAAGTGCAAAACAGTACAAGAACAGACATTGAAAAGAATTTTAAATCTTCTAGAGATGTTCACAGTTGCTGTGAAGTCTGTTAGAGACTTTACAATACCTTTGGATTTCATGTGAAAGATGCTTAGCCATTAATAATCAGTATTCATACAGATACTAAGGAAATCATCCTCTGCTTCTTTGAAAGTCCCTTTCCGTCAAGCTAAATGACTCTTACTTAAGTTTACATTCCAGAAAAACAAGTGAGAACTAATACCTTTTTACACAGAAAGGTGGATACAGAATAGCTGTAAAATTTTAAAGGTTTGTAGTCACAGTTGTGATAGAGTCATGTTCCAAAACTTGAGTGCATATTTTCAGTGTAAATTTAGTTTCCCTCAGTGAATTAGTAAGTAGTATTGTATTCATTTATTTGCTGAATTTGCATTGACATCAAATGGCTGTCTTTAACGAATAGCTGGTTTAAACAGTGTTTTAAATAAGGGTTTAAAGGCATGAAACCAGGCATAAAATCTGTTGATTCTAAACCAAATGGCAGAAATTGGAAAATAAACATTAATACCTTTCATTCTGAAGGGTATACTCTGCCTAAGCTCACTTAAACTGTAATAGTAATGAAAGTGCTACCAATAAAGCAGAAACTGGTCATGGCATATGACATTCATATTTTCTGAGTTTAAACTTTTTACTCCACAACTTGTGTGACCTTGATTTGATCCTCTAAAACCTGTTCAGCTGAGCTCAGGGACCTTTTGAGGTTGCTTTTGTGGTATATAAAACATGTTTTCAGCTTAAGGTGAAAGACAGGTTTTTATTATGAGTCATGCTATCACCGTGTAGTGTTAATGTCTAAAAAAGTTCTCTAAATGTTGTACACAAGAGTACTTAGAAGTCAGCTTTACTGGAAGTCTACTTTTTATTACAGAACTGTCATCAGCACCTCTTTTTAGAAGTCATCCAGTCAAAGAAGCTTATGTAAGCCTCTCATTCCTAACAGCCTCCTGTAGGCACTGGTAATAATCCCATTTCTCTTAGTTGTGTTTGGGTAAAGGCCAAAATAACAAAACCGTGTCAGAACCCTAAGGCCTTTAAAAAGGGCTGTATTTTCCTAAAAGCTTTACATTTCTTTTAGAAAAGATTTACATTTGCTTTCATTAGGAATATAAATTACAGAAAATCTTTGTGAAAAACAGTTCCCTCTTTTAACTTAGGTCTTGTTATTCTTTTTAGCATTCACAGTTGATTGTGTGCTACACAAGCCATTAAAATGTGTAAGCCAGATACAAATCTGAAAGAAGTGTGTTCCATCACTTGCACTGTGACAGATGAATCAATGTGAAAAAATAAAAACACATTTGTAAACTATTAGACTAAAAACTGAAAATCAGGACTTTCATCTGGTTTTGCACCCTTGGATGCAGTTTCTTTTTGAAAGGCTGAGTGGGGATCTGTTCCAAGATAAGTTTTGTTCTTTTTTTGGTCAAAACTTGTTATAACCAGCTATCAGCCAGACCTTGTTAAACAGACTACAAAGTGCCATCTTCCAAGGGGGAGAAAAAAAAAGTGTTGGTAAAAGCAGTAAGGTTTGCAGAGACGTCTAGTGAATTAGAATTCACTGTCTCTTGTTTAGTTTCCTACTGTCTTTAACTGTAAACATGTGAGATTCCTTCACATCCTAGCTCACTGTGATAAGCCCAGGGTGTCCTTGCCTTTTGATTTCCCTGTCTGCCATTATTTCTCACCTTGTGACATTACACAACTAGTGTATATAGCAAAATTAGGCTGATACAAATATTCAAAACAGATTTTTTTTTTTAAGAAAACATACAACATACTCAAGAAATTCAAGAACAGAAAAAGTAAAATGGTTGCAGTAGCTAATAAGAGCACTTAATTTAAAACTTGTATACATTTTATTTAAACATATACTTACTTCTTGTCTGGCTATTAAGCTAAAAAAAAAAGAAAAATGTAAGAGCCCAACTGTTATTTTTCACGTGTTAAAGAATGAAAAAGTCATTCAACTTCCAGCTTCAGAGAATCTTAACATTCATAGAAGGCAAGTAATCAAAAATGGCTGTATTTCTTCTTTATTTTTCAACTTTAACTGAAATACCGAAGATTTATCCCTGTGCCAGACATCCAAAAGCATGTACAATTGAAAAATAATCAAGCATTTTATCATCATAATGAATTGTACAAATAAAAATGAAGAACCAGTTAGATAGCAATTTTAAAGATTTAAATGTATAAACACAAGCTAGCAGCAACATATCATTGTAACAAGAAGCATCATAGAAAGAGATGGCACTGGAAAAATCAGTCTTCACCATGTGAAGCAGCTTGTTTTGTTCTCAGGTGGAGTTCTGTACCTCATGAAAGAGATACATTATTTGGAAAGAGGCCATTGAGCAACATAAAGATTATAGTTTCTACAGTCTGATAAAAAAATTTCCTTCATGTAAGGAAAGTCTTGAAAGATTTCAAAGGTATCAAAAGCTACTAAAAAGAGGAAGAAAAAAAGCCTCTGAATTTGTGCTGCTTAGAAAAAGAATGGAAGAGTTTCTCTTGCATCATGGAATAGATCTAAATTGGTCTGAAGTTATACAATGCTCTCAAGAAAATCAAGTAGTCCTTCCCCATAAAACAGCCTGAGTTTTTGCACAGACCAAAGAACAATTTGCCATGTGCTTTTAAACGTGCTTCATCCCACACATGCAACACTATTTCCCATTATTTTCAGTTAAAAAACGATTGCAAGTGAATGATGTATGAACCATTTCTTCATTATTCTCATTTTCTTTGGTATCTAATAGTACACTTTCTAAAGATTTGAAGAATTCTGATTTGATAGCTTAGTGTATTCTATTTACTCTACCCCTTGCTTCAGCAAATAGTGGTAAAACCAACAACCATAAATTGAGTTTTAACCACCTTTGAGGTATGATTTTATTAATCCATTATATATGGATTGGGGAGAAAAATGTTCAGTAGCAACTAGAAGAAAAGATTAGGATATGGATTTAGAATATATAATTTAGAAAACCAAAGAGTCATGTAATTTGTTTTAGGGAAGTTGTCTTCATTTTCCAAATCTAAGCAAGGTCAATCAACTGTTCTAACATTTGAATTGTACAGTTTATTGCTGTTTCATCTTAAGCTCTGAGAAAGCACAAAACAATATTTAGTAAAGTATGTTCTTTTTATTCACTTTTGTTAAATACATGTTTACACTTAAAAAAATTAAAACAATACATCGAAAAGGAAACTGCAATTTTTTATTAGAAATACAATAGCATTTCACAATATGTTACAAGCTAAATGTTTATTTCAAAATTGTAGGCAGCAGACAAGCAGTGTTTAATTTTTATAGGACTATGTAAAATTAGTATTTCTAGATCTGTTCTTTAGATTGGAAGTCTTTTACTAGTTAATGGGTGAACAGGGAAAAAGAACAAAACAGAAATTACTACAAATGTGTGCACTTAAGACATCCTGAAGAACAGGTAACTGTACCAGGGGCATCATGGAAGAATCCGCATACCTGGCCCATTATCTGCCCATTGGAAGAAGCCACACTGTTTTTCCTTCCCAAGACGGCACACAAAGAAGTTCCTTCCATTATTTGGACCAATCTTCAACACAGTCTTCATAACACATCGCTTGCCGTGGTTACAAAATGGAAAATCCAAGTCGGCCCACTGCCAAAGAAACAGGTTTCAGGCACATGTGATGGCTGTGAATTTCTTATTTTAAAATTGACAGTGGAAAAATATCTACAGGTGATGCCATGGAAGAAATTCTTCCTAGTACTTAGGATAGTTTTATCTCTTTTGTGAATACTTTATAGATTTTATCTTTAACATCAACAGCAACTGCATACACTTCGACTGGTGTAACTTGAAATTATGTTAACAAAAAGTTTTTTTCAAATTTAGGCATTATGGTCATTACTGTCTTGAGTTCATCTATTAACTACCTGATAGTCATTGACTTTTCAGGGGAAACTCTTTTCAGATATGTACATTCGTAGCAAGGAGAAGAGGCCACCAATTGCATCTAGGAAGGTTATGTTAGGTATTAGTGCAGCAGGGGGAGGGTTGATTTTGGCTAGCCAGAACATGGATGACAATTAGATCTAGTTTGCTGTAGTCCTTCTTTCAGGAAGAAGGTGATCCAAACAACCTGTACAAAGTTGGATGTTCATACATCCCCTCAAACCAGTATTTCTCTTATGCATCTGTTTTACATCACTCAGATTAAGAGCATTTGCACAAAGCAGGTGCCTTTTCAACAGTAAGAGAAGTAACTAAAATCATTAAGACCATAGCTATTATTATGGTCTTAGTTTCAATTCAGTGTACAAGAGTACTTATGTCAAACTTTAAATGGAATATATCTGTCCACGACTGACAGGTCATTGGGCCAAGGAGGCTGCAGGAACAAGCCCTGATTATAAAAACAGATCCTGAAGTCTTATACATACTTGAAAGTAATCACACCGAGTTTCCCTGGGGAGAGGGCAGCAATAAAACTGCCTTCCCTTGTTTTCTCCATCCTTTCTCACAACTCTGAGGCTGCAGAGACGGCTGTGTTTACTGCAGCGAGGATGCCCAATGCTCAACACAGGAGTATCGTCTGTCAGATTTGTTCCAGGTGTGCTGTAATGACAGGTTAAAAACGACTTCTGCGTAAAAGGGATTACCAGCCCAAGAACTCTTTGCTACCATTGCAATAGCTCACCCAGTGTACTTTTGCACACAGTGACAAAGGACTTGCTTCTCTAATGCACCCTGTTGCGCTTTTAAAGCTGAATAGACATGACTGTGAGCTTTTCTTGAGGTATTACACCAGTTTTCCCCACCATGTCTTAAATTCTTTTGAAGTACTCAAATTCATCTATGAAACAAAATAAATATTACCACTTATGTTATACTGCCCACCTCAAATTCTGACATGTTCTAAAAGAGTATTCTGCTCTCAGTGGGAAAAAGACCAGTACCACTAATTACTCCAGTCTGAAGGCATTTGTATGCTTCACAGAAAAGACTCCCGCCCTTTTTAGTAAAATTACAGTAATGCTCCAAATCATATTTGGACAAGAAGTAATCCAGATGATGAGATAGAATTCTCTGAATGGGATAAAGTTTCTTTCTTCCTTATATATATATATATTGAATGAGATAATTTCTGACTAACAGCAATACACAAAGTTTCATTTAAAAGTAGTGACATGAGAAAGATTAATGCTCTGAAATGTATCTTACCAATATATTTATAGAGCAGAAAAGCAATAATGGAATCTTAGTGAAAAAAGAAAATATTAATTAATTCTGAAAAAAGAAAATATTAATTCATTCTGGTCAAGTTATGATTTTAGGAATTTTATGTTGTCTCCTCTGTCTGGAAGACTGCTGCCCTGCAGACACCAGCAGTTTTATTCTAACACCTCATTAAAACATAGTAAGATAAAAATAACCGACAGATTTTTGTTGGTTTTGGTTGTTTAAAAAAATACAATAAAAAAGCATTTCTGTTGATGATTTGCTACAACCTGTTGTCATGATTGATACTATCTCATTTCTTGTTTGCAATCTTCTGTATTCTCAATTATCCTGCCTACAGCCTCAGTTCCCCAGTACTGAGAGCATGAGGAGAAATTGTATTCATTCAGTCTAGCCTAGCTAGTCAGCAAGATCATTTCAAAACTGGTGTTTCAGCAATGCAAGAAGTAATTTCTGTATTTCAGAACGGACACATGACCAAGAACTTTGTAGCAAATCATCAATATTTCACATTCAGCCTGCATAATTTACCAATGTGACATCTACCTTGCACTCCCATTACTGTTGTGACTATCTGCCCAACTCTGCAGTGACAACCCTCATAGATTCTCACATTCATCTTAACTAGGCAATGGATGTGTCTGAACAGGGCCCTGTAAATAAAAGTATGGGTAGGGCACTGAAGTGATTGTATACAGAATGGGGAGGGAAGTTAAGCGTGAAAGCAGTGATGTGAAGGTCATCAAGGCAACTGTATGGAGCTTCCTCTCAAGGAAGAATGCTGAAACCTGGTAGTTGACAAATAACTTTAATTAGAATATATTCATCCAGATACCTTCCTTTTGTAATCTTTCACACTGATTTCAAGATCTCTCTAAGCAGATAGCAACTACAGTGCTAAGATTAGACAACTCCTTAGGAAGAAATGTGCCTGACCTGTTAAAACTAGACTGGCCTATTCAATGGGAATAGCTGAACTATGAACAACTATTTAGCTGACAGCAGTACTGGTTAGATGCCAAAATCAGGACTTTTCTAATGGCAGCCTAGGTAATTCAGTGCTTTTGAAATCTGAATTAAATTATACTTAGCCTAGAACAAGTTACCTCTGGCAGAACTCCAAAGACAACACTGTCTGAGCCCAACAGCATGGTATTCAATTAATCTTTAAGGATAAAGTTGGTTTATGGGATTATAAAGACTTGCGTTCATTTTAGCATACATACCTGATTGCTACATTAAATGGGTGAACCAAAGGTACATGATCAGTTTTCTGTTTCTTCTGTATGTGTTTGAAAGAGTCAGGCTGCTGACAGGAGGACAAAGCCAGAGCAGTTACATGTGTTGAGCAGTCCTTGTCTGTGCTTCCCCCTGATTGGCAGGCATTGCTTTGGATCAGTTTACAATTCCTTTTTGGAACACACTGAGAGTGGCCACCAGATACCTGGGTATCATTTCCCAAAACAGGGTTGTTACCAAGATCTGTTAAGACAAGAGTTGTAGTTCCAAATGCAGTTTTCCTATTGATCTTTATTTCTGTGTTTGGTTTTCTGAAATCATTACAAGGGTACTTCATTAAGCTTGTGTTAACGGCTGTAGAATCTTCAAAACTCTCCATCTTTGGAACTAAGGAAGAAAGTTATTAGTTATAATCCATCTGCATAGAATGATACATTATATTTCTGATCTGTATTCCTAAATTGTCATGCAGAGAATGAAAGAGTGAATTTACAGTACCATCTCAAAACCTGTCAAAATTAGATAGAGTACAAAATTTCTTACAATATAAAAAACCTCATGCACTCTTGGAATCATGTAAGACATGTTTCAAGATAACATTACCATTGCTTGAATAGGATTATTTAATAGTACTATGTAATGAAAGCTATAGGACAATTAACCATAAAAAAAATAATTTGGCCCAAACATAAGGATTAAAGTATTTAATTTTTTTAAAATAAAAAATCTAATCCCAGCAATGGGAGATCACACAGTATAGTACCTCCAAACAGCGATGCATTATCCATTTTTAAATTACTACTTTATTATTGATACAAAAAGGATTTTGGGGTTTCTAGTGTTTTCAGAGTTCCCATCCTTTCCAAACTTTGTGTTCATCCAAACTTACTGTAAGAGGATTTTCAGAAGAAAGCAGTTCAGACTTTGCTTTGTGGTATAAACAACAAGTTTTTTCACATAATTACAGACTCTCCTAGTGGGCAATAATAATTTCAAAAGAATGGAAATAATTTATTAATGCAAATTTAATACATAAGGAGTCCATAGGTAATTCCTTTCCTAAGAAACAGGTGATGGCATCCTATGTGCAGTCTTTTTAGGTAGCTGTGAAACCATAGTGTTCAAGGACAGAGTCCTGCCTTTCTACTATATCCAGCGTGTTCCATACAAAGAACAGGGAGTTAAGCAGAGCATAGGTAGATGAGACATACACAAGGGCACACTCTCTCCAAAGGCATTCTCACTCAGAAACAAAATAAGAATCTCTGCATTTGACTTGGAACATTACTTGTTTCTAGGCTACTTCCATTTTGCAACTGGTGCACAGTGAAACACACTGGTTTTATTCAGACTTAAAGAAAGAATAGTAGTAGCTCAGCCTTGTACTTAGCAAAGGAGCACAGAAATTGCAATGTAATGGTGAATAATTATCTATCTACAGACTGAATTATTTCAACTGTAAGGCCAGCAGCAAATTTTACAGGCCAAGTATTCTGTCCTCAAAAATTCAAACATTTCTGCTGAGAGTAGTTAATTTTAGAAACAACATAAAAACAAACACTGAACCAAGTAAAAAGGGAAAGATTCTTAAAGATTAAAAAAAAAAAGAGAGGTAAGCAAATCCATATTTGGAAAAAAAAAAATTAATCTCAAATACAACTCCTATACAAAAGCAAAGCCTTATTTTTTTTAAAAAAAATATTTCCTAACAGTAATCCATCAAGTTGAAGACATCTTCAAATTCCACACCTGATTTCAGTAATTGCATATAACTGAACAAGTAAAACTCAGAAGTACAGGAGAAGGAACAAGATTTTGTTTCAAAGCTTAAAATAAAACATTTGTGCACATGGCATAATATATTATAAAGGCCAGCTGACATCATTAATTCCAGGATAAATGTTAGTTGGTAAATCTTGTTCTGCGAACAGATTAAAATTCTCAGGTTTCTGGTGCTGATTTGGCAGAAGAATTATGCAAGATTAACCTGTGTTGGCTACAACTGTCGTGTAAGGCATGAAGACATAATTTTATTGATTCTTGGCCTGAGAAAATGAACTATAGCTAGTGCAAGATAAGGGTTTTCCACATATCACTCCAGTCATAAAATGATTAAGCAATGAAGCAATATTTAATGTAGATAGCAGCATTAAAAGCTTCAGCAAGAGACAAACAAGAAATTGAGGTAAGAAGTTCAGGATCATTTTTACTCTGAATTCAGAGGGAAAAAAAAGCCCCAGAGAAATCCGGTATCCTTTTAGAACAGGGTACTAAAATACACTGCTTTTGTTCACATGAAAGAACAACAGTTAATTTTCTGACCCTTGATGATTGCTAATTCAGACTTACACTACAAACTTTGAATGACTTTAAGGAGAGTTGAAAGAATGGAGATTTTTCTCACTCCTTGCCCCAGTAAAAACAAAGGGTCACTGAAGACACCTATAGAATCCCACCTACACACCAGGTTGGAAGACAACACTTTCAGGGTTTAAGACAATACTTAACTAACTTAACTTAACTAAGTAACTAAACTTACTTAGTTTCCATATTGTATATGTATATATATTAATTATATATATTATATATGAAATATATATATTATATATATATGATTCACAGTGAGACACTTCTACATAAAAACTACATCAAAATCAGACACAGACCTCCCCCCTCTGCTCTTTCCCAATACAGATGCCAGACAACTCTTCAGTACCTTCAGGTCTTGAAGTCAAACAGGCATCACAAATTTCAGCAGAAGGCTTGTTTATTAGGGTGCAGCGCGTACACGTCCACTCCTCTTCAGATTTCCGAGCTACATGTTCATTAGAACATGACCCCCTGCCACATGCCCAGCCAATTAGGCTAGTTCTTGCTGGCAGTTTGCTGTGAAACAAAGAATGATGTTAGTGTTTTGTGACGTTCCCTCTACAAATTGCCTTACACCACTCTGTGCAGGGAGGCATGGGCTACACAACAAGCAGTACACAGTGTTATGCCTCCTATCAAAGCTTGGACAGCATGTCACTGTTCAAGTTTGACTTTTCTTTTCTTAACCTCAAAAGCAAATCTTTCCAGACGCTGCAGAAGTAATACAAATAAAAATATTTAAACAAAAACTTGACAGAAAGTTAATTATTATCTGATGTACTCTCCAGGACAAAGCCCCAGTCTCTCAGATTCCCCACCATTTCCAAGTACTGCAGCTTAGTGAGAAAGTTTCAGGGCTTTCCCCCCCATCCCTTGTACACAATGCTTGCTAACAAATGCATTACTGGATGAGGAAATGTTTAGAAAGTGTACTGCATAAAATCATACAGTCTAGCAAATAATTATTTTTTTTTCTCATTTAAATGCTACACATAAGTCCACTTTGTTATCTTAACAGCCAAAAGCACTGACAGCCTTAAAAGTTAGAAAGTCTCTTGTGTGTCACCATTTGCTGGAAAGCCTTTTAAAATGTAGGAACCTGTTCAGAATTAAGGAACCTAGCTGTGACTAGTGAGGCAAAGCTACTCCAAACACCACTAAAGATTTAGTTTTATATATTTTCCTGTAAATTATCGTACCTTCTGTGTTGATAGACTGATTTAGAATCATAGTTACTCCTTTACAGCTTCCTGTTACCAGGGACTGCTCTTGTCATAGTATCCAAACATTGACAGCATGCTGTATGTAACTTGAACTTATCTCTTCAGTAAGTTATGTATGTTTATTTTTAAGTACTATGATATCATCCAATTTATGGTTGATAAGCTGTCATGTGGATTTTTTCAGTTTTAGTGGAATTGTGCACTTTTTGGAGACTTTTATTAATACTAAGAATTTAAGCACTTCAATCAATAATGCAAATGCTGTAGGTTGGGCACTGTTGTGACAGTTTTGACCTATCACTTTCTCCATAATGATCGCTTTCTGTAACAGGCTAGAGTTCTAAGATAATGGTAGTGATCTCCACTACCTACCACATCTTCCACAACAGGAAAACTAAGGAGGATAATGAGAACTGCTGACATACCAAAGAGTCTGTGCTGTTAAGAGGTAGAACAGACATTATGGTAGCATTCACCAAATAGTGTGGCTAGCAAACAACACAGCTGAACTGTAAGTGTTAAAGTGGGTATTTTCACATTATTAGATCACTTGTTCTTCTACTCAGTTATCAAAAATGCATTACTAGACTAAATATATTCAGTGTGTCGTATTTGAAAGTTTAATTCCATGTTGTTCCCCTGGTTCATCTATCCTGTCATTACCCCCCCGCACCCTATCCCTATTTATTAAATATGTGGAAAAAGGTCTATATTTAAAATTCAAGGTACATTTGAATTTGATGGGCTAAGTTTGTAATGGGTATTTTTTTATTGTTTTTCAATTGAGCAAAATAATAAGTTACTTGAGCCAAGAACCACTGGGTTGAATTCTACAGTTTATGATCTATAGCAAGTCAGTATAATCACATGGGCCCCTTCCAGTCTTCAAATGTGAGAAGCCTGGAATGGCAAATAAATTACTTGAGGTATTAATAATTTTACATGGTAACAGTTACTGTATAGTTGAAAAGAGAGCAGTAGAACACAAAGAACTGACCATTAGGATAAGGACAAGACAAGAAACCACCTTTTTGTTTTATAACTACCACTACCATGTTTTTCACTTTAATACAGCACTCTTCACTTGTTTATTTAAAAGTACAACAACAAAACGCTATATCACTTGTTCTAGAAAACAGAAAGATTTTTTCCTTACATTGTATTCTAGTTATCTGACTCATTGCTGTCTTCCTACATTTTGGCAAAATATTTCTCATTATTAATTTCTGAAAATACAGCAGATTTGGGTTATCAGCTTGTGAAATATTTATCTTCCATCTTCCATGCTTGAATTTTCGATATTTGATCTGTACTCAAAGGCAATTTTTTAAGCTTTAAGCAAAATCCCTTCAGCCATCTGAGTCTTGAAAGAAGCTTGGAGGTAGGAGAGGAACTTGTGCGTTCTGTAAATGTTATCTAAAATATATATATATATATATATATATTTTAGATAACATTTATATATATATATACACACACACACATATACACACACACACACATACTAACAAGGCAAAGTCACAAAGTGAAACAGCATCTTATATTAGATTGACAGAGAGTAAAAAGGCAAAATTCTGAAGCCTCAGATGAAAATTTTCAAGAATAACAGATGCCTAAGTATGAATAAGGTGTTTTTGGAACTTTTACCTTTTGACCCTTTGTGATACCAAATGAATCTTCTGCTTTCCTGAAATAAAAGGAGGAAAGCTGCTGCTAACACAATTTATGTGAAAGTGAAAGTGTCTCTGTAGCACTCCTACAGTAAAAGTTTTTAAAATCCAATAAGGAGGAAGAAAAAGTACCTAGCCACTAAAATGTTTGCTGCACTCTGAATTTACTGATGTTTTGGATATCCTCAGTATAACTCTATATCCAGAAGAAAATTGCATGGATGCACAGCTATCTAGATATGCCAGGACTGATGGGACTATCCTGTAAAAAAACCACAAATTCCTACTTCATGATATTCAACTCAGTTGTGTGGAAACATCCAAGTCCTTTATATTGGCAACACCAAGAAAAAAGGGCAACTTTTCCAGTGACTTAGTTTCAGTGAATACATCTGAGCACTCTGAATTGTTTTGTAATTCCCACATTTGATTAGAAAAATAGCTACTTCATAATAGTTTATACCTTTGAAAAGCACAGTAGAAAAGAATCAAAGCTTCTAACCATTTTAAAATACCAATAGCCAAAACTATTTTTTTTCAAGATGTTCTGTTTTTGTCTGGCATAGTTAAATTTAGTTATAAAATGCACACAGATCCATTCTATTTCAAAGGAGCTGTCCACTTACTGTAACAGCACTTGGAGGTGATTAAAAATGCCACCATGTTATCATCATACCTAAGATTGACAAGCTGGGGATCCACCTTTTGACAGTGAGTGCAGAAGTAAGTCATCCTGTTATGGTCTCCCAAACGACACACGGTGATGCTGCCACTGCACTCCCTGCAGGCTGGGCGCTTGTACACTTTGTAGTGTTTGTAGAGTGGAGACCCAGTTTTGCGGCACTGAAACAGAACGTGTTTAAAATCCAAGTTAGAGACTCAAGGTAAATTTTATGTGAGTCTGAAAATAAAAAGCCCTACATAGACTGTCAACTCATTGACTAGATGAAGATGTTTTAGACAGACACTATTAAAGGCTATTTCACATTATTTTATGTAAAGAATTAACAAATCTAGTGTAACAACGTCTTTAATTCTCCACATAGTGAAATAAAAGACAGAAGGAAAAAAAAACATACTAGTAAGGTGCAAGCAAATACATGCTAGGATCTCTCTGAGTTTAGCTGGACCAAGCTAGCTCTGATTCAGCACCAGCTGTCTTTGACCAGACACCTGCAATCAAACAGCTCCAATCAATGCAGCAAGGAAAACTAAACAAACATAAAGCACAAAACAAAAACAGCCTTCTCTCACCCCCAAAAGAGCCAAAAACAGCACAGCTCAGACATGATGCTACAATCTGGGTTAATAAGCCTTCCCAAAACCTAAAGAACTGTGCAATGCAGAAACATTCCCAAGATTCTGTAAATCTTGGGTAGTGCCCAGTTGCCAAGCTGCTCAGATTCATCTTGGCCCTGGCCATGCCAGACAACCTGGCTCATGAAAAGCCAGTTGGCACTATGGTAATCTCCCTAGATTCTGGCAGAAAGCCATATTAAATTAAGTATAGTACAAGCCCAAGGGCAGTGACCTCAAGAGCCTCCAGACAGCTGGCAAGAACATTTCACAAGACAATTCACAAACAATCCATGAAGTCAGCATAGAAACACTACAGCTAAAAGTGGGGAAAAAAAAAAATCCAAACTAGAAAAGCCCAGTAGAGATGCAGCCAACTCTGCAGAGTCGCACAAGTTTCTGCACTACAATTGCAAACCTTTGAGCACAGTTCAAATGACACCACAGCTGGCCCAGCAATACCAGCACAGCTCTTGGCAGAGTTCAGTGGCTCTAGCTCCATAATGTATGAAAATCCTTGGAGTTCTCCCAAAACACAGGTGTCTTTGAGCACAGTACATTTGCTTCTGCTGTGCTCTTATTCATCAGTCTTGCTGATAGAGAATTCTTGCGCCAGTGCAAACTAGTAATTCAATGAGAAGGAATTACTAATATATATTTGCATGAATATACACAGCTGCCTCCTCAAGGTTTTCAGTCATTTTCTTATGAGCAGTTTTTTTCCCATTCAGTTATGCAAAAACCAAACAAAAGCAACATCTTTTTACACAAATAATATTCTTCATCTTTGCATCTGTAATGATTACAGTATGATGACTGCAAACAATCTTTAACAGTCTATAAAAATTTTCAAACACTATCCCTCATTAACACATTTTCATTATGTTTCTTTAAGATGAAGGAGAGGCTAGCCCTCTTCAAAATACTTGACTGGTGAATACTTGCTAAGTGTGGACTACAAAAGTTTTCAAATTAGCTAAGCAGAAAGTTTAACTTGCTTATTTATTATCAGTCTAAACGCCTTTAAATTCCTGAGTATTATAGTTGTTGCAGAACTAGACAATATCTCTTTAGTGACAGACTTTGCTATGAAGTTTGAAGAAATGCAAACATTTCCCCACCAACAAACTAAAGTACTCTTTAAAATGGGTTGAAAGAAAGCAGACATTTAAGCAGACTATTAAAAAAATTACAGTTTTAGCCTTTATGATTTTAGGACTGTTAGGTGTCCTCACCCTCACCAACCAAAAAATTTCTTTTCAGCAGTGCTAGCTCCTTGCCTTTCATGAACATCAAGAGAAACAGACAAAAATATCACTACTGCCATTCATTTCTTTGTATGCAGCTTAAAGAAACAAAACATAGAAGAATTAGGTCAAATTCTCTCTTTAGCTATTATGGAAAGTTAAGAAGCACCAGGAATTATGGAGTTTATATGGGAAGAAATTAAGTCCTACTGAAGTTATACCAGTAGGGAGAAATCATAATTTATTTCACTTTATCAACCAAAACCATTATTTCAGTTAGGAAAAAATGGGTATTAGAAATTACCAGCTATCTAGTCAAATAAATTTAATTGCTATTCCAAGCTTTATAAAGGAAGCCATATCAACTAGCTACATACTTCTCTGGGACAATCTCTACTTCCCAGTTTGAAGAATAATCTCTGTGTTATCTTACATGTAACTTTGTGGTTAGCCTACATCAATTCTGACATGTTCAGAGTGGCGTAATTGCACATGCACAGGAAAACTGAACTAGCCCTCAGGCAATTTTTTGAACTGGCCTCTGAAGGTTTTTTGGGCTGAGCTGTGCATATCTTGACAATCTTGACTCCACTTACCTTCCCATCATCTGACAAGTCACAATTAATAAAGAGCACACAAACCAACATTCCTATTCAAGGAAACTTGTTTTGTTGCATCTTTATATTGTTATACTTCATCTGTTTTCACCAGATGATCACACGCAGCTAACATGACAGAGTAACATTTTGGAAGTTTGCCAGAAATACGTGCCAATACCTTATAAAAAAGCAGCGTAAAATCACGTGTCATTTTCACCAAGTGGCGTATATGCTCATCTGTCAGTTGGCAAACCTGTAAGAAAGACAAGAATGATTTTTAGGGACACTAAGGGACAATGGCAAAAATCACCTATGAGGTAGGTACACTTTGAACACTGATGTGGAGCTGCTTTTCTCCATGTTGTGATAATTCCCAGACACAATATGTATCATCTCAGTAAAACAGTACATGCTCACATTCTGTACCACAAAAACTCACTGCTTGAATATCAAACAGTGTGCTTTGCCTCAACCACACAAAACATGTGGTAGAAAATTCAGTTGTCTTTCCCTATATATTGACCAAAGACTTCATGATCACATGAATGACATAAGAGTTAGCAAGTCTCTCCCAGTCTCCTCATGGACCATAATATGACATCATCTGAGGCTCTTTCCTTTGAGAGATATTCAGGAAGAATATGTGAGTCAAAGGCAGCACAATTAGAGAGATGTATCAACCAAATAAATTTTTCTTAAGAACCCAAAATTTTAAATCACATTTTTCTTTTTTTCTGCCATATCGCAGATAAAATTAAAATCCGGATTGATCCTATGAACAATTTTCAAAATACTATGTTTAAAAAACTTTTCAGTTACTAATCTTCACCAATCTTCCCTTTACATTTGATGTAATGTCTGTTTTGCAAATATCATAGTCTCAGCCAAAGTTTGGAGACACATGCTTGAGGATCTTAAAACAGAAAAAGTATGATAAAAAATGGTAGAAAAAACAATTGGTGCCAGCTAGCAGAATAAGAAGTGGAAGAAGCAGCTGCAAAAATTATCAACTCTACCACATAAACTATTTTGGATAGTAAATGAACAAAAAAAAAAAACCAAACCTGAGCACTTTTCATTTTCCCTTATTTATGGACTGTCAGCTTAATGGTAGACTAACAGGATGCCACACTTAGAATATGAAAGTTAATCAGCTCCAAGGAGTACCATGACAAAAACCTCCCATTATAATGATAAAATATTAATTTAGTGTCTAAGAATAACTTAAGAAATTACAGATGATACAAAAAGGTAAGAAGGTACCAAAATATTAAATAAATATGTATTTAAATTCTTAACATTTTGGTGTCTTTAAAAACCATCTTGAGACATTCACCCACCTTAACAGCTGGATGAAGACGACTATCAAACAGTGCTTCGTTTTTTATGATATTTCCCACTCCAGGTAATACTGCTTGATCCAATAACACATCACACAACATACGGGTGTTCTGCTGCTTAATCTCATGTTCTGCTCTCGAGAAGCTAAACTTTGGAGAACAGACATCCAAACTTTCCATCATCCTCACTTTCTGCTCACACTCAGCTGCATTTCTGGAAGAGAACAGAAGAGAAAAATATGCTGAATAATTTTTATTTTAAATATATTCTAATACAGCAGTATAGTTTTAAAAACAACTCAAAAACTTACAATAGAACATTATATGCAGATAACACAAACCATGAAAATACCAATGACAGGAATTGGCACAGAAATTCCATTAAACATCTCTTCCAAAAACAGGTCAATGATACATGCATGGAACATGCATCCAGTCCAACATACAAGAAATCATCTCATTTTGCTCCTATTAGCTTGAAAAATATTTGCCAGCTCCTTGCTTTAAAACTGCTTACAAGACGGAAAGCCCATGTGTTTGAGCCCTCAAACATACCTAACTGTATGGTTATGTGGTCCACTAGTTACAACATGACATTTATGTGTGTGTGTGTATGTATATATATAATCTGTAAACTAAATTTATATATTAGATTTTAAAGAATTACAGAAAATTCTGAGTTGGAAGGATCCCACAAGAATCATGGAGTCCAGCTCGTAAGTGAAAGGCTCAAATGGGGATCAAACCTACAACCCTGGCATTATTAGCACCATGCTCTAACCAACTGAGCTAATTATAATTATGTAACAGATATATGTAGCAGTAGATCATTAGTAGTAGTTACAAAATTAAAATATATATATATATTAGTGTTTTAAGATACATAGATATCCTAGATTAGGATAAGCATAATCATTTGAAAATAATACAGTACAAGAAGTCTTGGCTAACATGAGATTTTGTGTCTTGTAATTTTAAGTGTGCTTATATATGTTACATGAATTTTCATGCCCATTTCCACTCAAGAGCCTCAATCACTTTAAAATCAAGCTCACTGGTGGCTTTTTTTAGCAGTGTGAAGTATAGTGCTAATGGGCATAAACATCTGCTTAATGTAAACTAGAATAATTATAAAAACTTGCTTCCAAAAAGGAAAAAATAAAAACCTAACCTCGGGAGCATGAAAACTTGAAACCAGTAATCGTGACAGGTTGTCACCCTTGTTAAGAAATGAGACTTGGATAGAAATTAACAGAGCAATGGGTTTCAGTGTACAGATCTAAGGACAAAATTAAATCCAGTTTTCACTCCCAGTCTTGACACTATAGCATAGAACTACTTTATCTGTATGTAAGCTCTGATACAAAACTAACAAACTTCAATTACCATACCAATAAATATGGTCTGTTTAGAAATTTTTGTCTTGATAGAATCCAAGCACTTAACAATTTTTACATGATTTCTTATTTACCTTAAAAGAACATTATAAAAAGAAACTGTTTCCTTAGTTTCTGCTTTACCTGTACTCTACTGTCACATCCCAAAAACAAACAGTATCCTCCATAAGCTGTATCTCCAAAATTGGTTGTGCTCCATTTCTGTCTTTGCTTCCATCAGGATTAATGTGCATGGAACCATTCATACCAAAGTGAATCCTGGAAAGAAAGAGAGCTTTTATAGGTATTTTAACATCACTATTGTTTCCAAACATTACACCAGTCTATTTTTAGAGTTGTGAACCTTACATACCCAAGGCAGTATGTATGTACATTAATTCTACTCATTACCAGTAACACAATAACAAACTGTTATCTCACAGAATGCTCAATTCCCAGAGAAGAAAGAATGCTCCCCAAGTAAAAATCCCTCCAAAACATTGCTGTTTTCGAGTAGTCTTCATAATTCATTATACAGAAGTCAAACCTGATCATTAAGTAGCACCATTTCCTGGTGCACTTAGAAATTTTTTTCCACTTAACATGCTGATCTTCCAATATAGATTCTTAAACCTTCAGGGAGGCTGAAAGAAATGAGGCCACTTGACCAGATAATTTTCAGTTAAAACAGGCAGAAGTCACCTGGTATGAAAAGAAAGAATTTAGTCCCCATATTGCCACCACTGTCATCACATCACAGCTACATCAAATAACACCATAAACAAAGTAATTAGTATTTGCCATATGTTGTTTTCTGCTTTTCCTTGCCTACAACCAAGGCAAAACCTGCAGGTCAATTAAAAATTAATAAAAGAAATAGACTGAAAAATGCACAGATGGCAAAGTAGAAGAACAGATTCTTTCAAGCATTTATTTTACACATTAGTAATGCTTTAAGAGGTCATACATTTCATAAAATATTCTACCAGGAGTTATGATTGTGCAAAGAATAAGTCTGACTATCATCAGTGTCAGTGTTTCTTTACCTTTGATATCCTGAAACAGGGCAAATTAGAAATCCTTTTTAATTACAAATAGAAAAGGCATGCTAATTAAACCTAGGATCTGTTATTCAATGAGAACTAGTAATAAGGAGTTGATGATTTCTAGTTTTAAAGTAAAAAGGTGAGACTTTACAATTATTTAGTGCCACACAATATTGCAGGAATCTGAATGCACTGCATGTACTATAACTGTTTTGTCTCTAGAAAATGCAACTTCCTGTTTGAAAAAAAGCATGTAAAAAAATAACTGTCATTCCTAGATACCTTTACATGGAATCTTGGAGTAAAGCAGTAAATTATCTGAACACATGACTATATCCAGCACTCCTGTACTGCAGAGTGGCTGATGAGAAGTTTCTCTGTAATACTTTCAAATCTCTGGAAGTGCCATTGGTAAGAACAATATGACCCCCCAAATACATTCAGTCTAAATGCATAGGAAGCCACCTTCTCACTTCTTACCTCAAAGCTTTCTGATCAAAATACATAAAAAGTTCCTTTCCCAATGTCTCCACACCCCTGTAAACATGTCCAACAAGGAAATCATGACCAGAGCTTCTCTCTTTATCTGTAGCAGTCTGAAAAATGAGTACACACACACAAAGATTAAAGATAATTTATACTGCTTTGATTCTAGCACCAGTACACATTCAGCAAGCAGCTGTATGAACTAATTTTCTGACCTGGACAACATTAACTATATTCTTCTTAAGCATTCTACCAAAAACAATGGGACTGTTAACCCAGGAAGCAGTCACTACTGCTAACACTATCATAACTTGCTCAATCTTTTTCCCAATCGAAACAATACATCTTTTTTATCAGGGAATTGTATGCATTTTCCTTTGTGTCATGAATTTATAATACAAGTTTTAGACTGCTGTAAAATAAATAGTTACAGTTTGAATATTAAAGACGTGTCAGAGTGTCAATTCTGCCATTTGCAGATCCATATCCTTCTTCAAATGTTACTAATAGGCTCTCAGTACTTTGCATAATGCCTTGTGTATTACAGAAAAGCTTCCACTGAGCCCACAGAGATATCTCTTCCTACTAGTTTAGAGTCTAATCTCAGAAGCAGGTGAGCAGCAGGTGAGACACTACTAGAGAACAAGATAAATGTGAGATTGAAGCAGTCATATTTTCTTGCTTAGCACATGAAAATACATTAAAATTTTAAGGGATGTCTACGGGTTACCTGGTCAAAGCAGAATACACTTAGGACAGGAAGCCCAGGGCCTTGCCCAGTCAAATTCAGAGCAGCTCCAGCAATGGATGCTCCCTCCAGTCTCTTTGGACCCTTGTTCCATGGCTTGACTATTGTTGTGGTAGAACATTTTTCCTAATATCTAATAAGAATTTCTCCTGTTGTCACCTGCATCTGCTGCTTCTCAGCCACTGTGCATGTCCAAGAGGAGCCTAGCTCTGTCTGCCCCATATCCTCCCTTACAGGTAGCTGAGGAGAGCAAGGAAACTCCAGTTCTGACAGCTTCTCCTTGAGCACCATGTGCTTCACCCTGCTAACCACACCAGAGGACTCACTCTAGTATGTAATTAACTTGTTATTATTGGGGAATATTGTTAACTCACTCTAGTATGTTATTAACTTGTTATTATTGGGTATTGGAAACTCAGGTGCAACCTTGCAAGTGCTGATCAGAGGTAAGAATCATTCTTCTCAAACTGCAGACCCCAGCATGGGGCTGTCCCTTAGAATGACATGCTAGTCACATGGACTCAGCTTTTACAGGACCCTAGGTCCTTTTTGGTGCAGAGCCACTTCCCATCTGAGTAGCAGCCAGGCCTGTGCTGTTCCTCTTCTGTTCCAAGCACAGGACTCTACTAGTCCTGCAAATGCTGAACTTGAGTTTCCACCAGCCCATTTTACTCAGCCTGTGAGGGTCCCCCTGACAAGTACCCCAAGGTCCCTTCAGACCCTGCTGAAACCTGTGAGCTGCAGATTCACTGTCATCACAGCGCTGACTGCACGGCAGATACACATGCCAGTGCTTCAACTGCAGCACTCAATTTCAATGCAAATACGTGTGAAAGAAACTCTGGCAAATCAGCCAGGCTTCTGCTAGTTAGTGACATTTCAGAGCTACTCCATGCAATCTCCCACTGTATTATTACTTTGAAATTATACACATTTAGAGAGTTTTATGGTTATTATTTTTGTCAAGTAGGAAAATAAAAATATTTCTTGCATAACATCATTTACCTTGTCTGTTATCAAAATATGAAGAAAGAAAAATTTTTCTTCCATGTAAACAGTTCATGCTTTCCAATAAAAGTATTTGGAGTCTGTTGCTGAGCAACAAAGTTTATTTTATCTCTAAGGCACTCAAGTTTGTTTAAAATAAACCAGAATAAGAAATGACTGAGATGGAAAACTAACTTGTCTTTTCAAATATTTGAAGTTAAGTTCATACCTCTTTGGTATCAGGCAAACCCTTAGAGTCATCATAGTACAAACTCTCCTAACAGGGTAATATTCAGCAGTGGCCAAGGCTTTAGCCATGATTAGCAGTCCCTGTGAAATCTAAGAAGTCCAATGTCATTTTCCGATTGGCCATTTTCCAATTAATAAAGGCTGCCCTGAGGTGACTTTTACTGCATAAAGTGATGAAAATTAAACTATTTGAGGGAGTGAGATCTCTTTTTGAAACCTTAGGAGTATAACTCCTTACTTCAAAAATCTGTCCTGAAAGATATTAACCTATAAAGACTAATCTTAAGACATATCTTAATGATGTATTTTCAACCACATTCTTTCCTAAACTGTTTCATTGAAGAAACAATCTTACTGTGCCTTAATCACAAGCTTTATGCTGTCAATGAAAGGATAAAAACTAGTAGGGAAATTACATACTGTGTACACTGAAAGCAAATGTCACACCCTTTATTTATATACTTGGCCAAACTAAAATTACTTAAAAAAGATAATTATAAAAGTAAAAGCCCCCTTTCTGTAGGTCAAGGTGTACCTTTCTCATGTTTCACATAGATTGGTTTCACACCTTTCTATTTTTCTATTTCTTTATGGTTTCACATATTTCTATTTTCACATTGATGGTTTGGTTTGGAAGGGATCCTAAAGAGCATCTAGGACATGCCTCGATTGAGATTATGAAGAAGCAAGATTAGCAATAATTTCCCTGGTATTTAACGTTTCCTCAAGCAACACGGTATTTTGAAATTTATCCTAAGTGAACACGAGCGATTCTAAAAGCTTTTCCTCATTACTCCTCAAAGCTCCCGTTTCTACAGCTTCAGCATCACCTTTACACATATGACCTGCCGAGACCTACTAGGTTGCTGACAAGAATATTTCACAATTTAAGAATAAAGACGGTATTCGCGGATAACACCCACCACACCCAGGGACGACTGCAGCCGCGACACGGGGGGCACCGAACCCCCGCTCGGAGTTCCGGCGTCCTGGCACGCTCGTTCTCACCCACACCTGGCGGCACCAACCACCGCGGATACCCATGAGCGACAGCGCTGGCTCCCCGCCGCCGCCCGAGGCGGCTGTCCTGCCCTGTCCCGGTCCCGGTCTCGGTCTCGGTCTCCGGGCCGGGCCGCGCCT